AATAGCACTTTCCTCAGACACATGAAATATTTTTCTATTTCCAATGTTTACAATGTGTTTATAGTCTGGCAGCTTTTGACATCTTGCCATTTTAACAGCTCTACCTTTTTTTTTTTTTTTTTTTTATTTTAATTCACCTCCTCAAGGCCGAGTAGGCCACTACAGACAAGGAGGCTACTTATTTTGTGGATATAACCCTCTCTCAACTCTATAACTCCGAAACACGAACCTTGACGAACAAGGCCGCTGCGCGGAGAAACGAGTTGAGCGCGGTACTACCAGGGACGTGGTGGGGATTGAACCCGGAACCACTCGTTTATGAAGCGAGCGCTCTACCACTACACCACTACCGCATATACCTACTGCAGATTTTGATAAACTATACATTTCAGCTGCATCTTGTATGGACATACCCTTAAGAACACTTTTTACTGCATCTTCAACATCTAAAGAGTTTTTACGTATTGATTTTGTGTTTGGTTTCATCTAAAAAAAAATTTGAAACTTCACAAAAAACCAAATATATGCCATATGCAAATATTTAAATACAAACATGAAATATATAATTAAAATACACACAGATATACACACACATATATATGTATGTATATGTATGATACATATACATACATACAGTATATGATATAAATACATATGTGTGTGTGTGTAAATAGATATACATAAATGTATATAAATACAATAAATAAATACAAAAAAATAATTATAAGTATATATATATATATATATACATATATATATATGTATATATATATATATATATACATATATATATATGTATATATATATATATATATATATATATATATATATATATATATATATATATATATATATATATATATATATATATATATATATATATATATATATAATATTTGCCATCTTTTTAATACTCTGTTATCAACAACATATCTAATTAAACATTTATCCATATTTATACATATTACAAATATCATACATCAACATATCTAATTAAACATTTATACATATTATAAATATCATACATCAACATATCTAATTAAATATTTAAAATTAATTTAAACTATTGATCGACTCAACTTTAAAGAATACTAAAGAAAAGATTTTAATAGAGATTTAGTTTTATGAACACAATTTTGAATTTTAGCTAAAGCATTGGTCACACTTATTTAGAACTACATTTTAACATCAAATTAAAACGTATTTAAAAATAAAATTATGTGTGACCATAACTAAGTTGCCAAAATATATTTTTCTACTTTTTTCATATCAGGCTGTTTGGACAAGTCCCATTCAATAATTAATACTTTGTCCCATTCAATAGGCTTCCCACTATATCCACAAATGACAGGACAGGTTAAAAACAGTAATACCTAAACAAAAATACTTTACAAATTTAAAAAGTAGAGACATTTGGGTGTTGAAAATTGGAGTTTCATTTTCCTTAACTTTAGTAATCGCTGCAAAATCAGACACAGAAAATTGTTTTTAAAAATTACTTATTGTTCTTCAAAACACAATAACATCCAATGCCATTACGTTTAGACCATAATAGAAATAAAGATTTGGTCTGTTGAATGGTTGTGTCAAACACTTATTACCACAGGAGTTTGGATAGCCAACCGTAGATGCTTCTATGCAAATTTGATTTTGTCCCATTCAATAATTGTCCCATTCATTAAGGTTCTCCCCTACTCTGAATTAATTTTTTGCTTCAGTTTTTACTAAAAGTGACATTTTTGAACTTCCAATAAACTTAATGAAAACTTCAAGCTTCTGCACAGTGGGTCAGATTGCCTATTTTTGCGCCAAAATTATTTTTTAATTAAATATTACTAAATTAGCTTTAAATAACATATCTGGAGCTTCTAAATATATTTTTGATTAAAAGAAAAAAAAATTTAATTGTATTTTAACTTAGAATACAATTAATTTTTTTTTTCATTTAATCAAAAATTTATTATTATGAAATATTTTTTGAAGAAAGTCCAACAAAGAGCAACTAGAATTGAAAGTTTATGAGGTTATAACTATGAAAAAAGACTTAAAAAACTAGATCTATTATCACTTGAAAATAGAAGAAAAAGAGGAGATTTAATTCAAATGTTTAAATATTTTAAAGGGTATGACATAATTAATTTTTTCTGTCCACCAAAAATTATTGATAATGAAAGAAAAACAAGGGGTCCCAATTTGAATTTAAGAAGGAAGTTCACAAACAAGTAGTGAATGATTGGAACAATCTTAAACAAAATACAATAGATGTAAGCACCGTCAATCAATTTAAAAACAAAATAGAAAAACATTTTAAATATTAGCGATTATTTTTATTAAAACTATTTGTTTTGTTACAGCTTTTATAGTCTCGAACCCTGCGTAGTTTGGACTTATTACTCAAGAAGTTGATTGTACAGCATGTTTCTATTATATTCTATTCTAAATTGACTTTTAGTTGATTAGTAGGATATCCAGATTCGATTAAATCGACTATTCAATTTTTCAGTCAACTAATTTTAACTTTTAACTCAACTTTTAGTTTTGTCAATTTTGTCAAAGTTAACAACAATAATTAAAAATATAAAAAATATAGTTATAAAAAAAACTAGCAGTAATCAAAAAGTTATTTCAAAATTAGTGAACTAAGTAGTGAGTTAAGTTGACCAAATCTAAATTCCAAAAATAACTTTATGGAATTTGAATGTGAAATAGTTAATGAACTATGAAAAGAAATAGTTTTCAAAAACCGTTTTTGAAAAAAATTTAAAATTATTTTCTTTAATGAAATTAATCAAAAATCTATTAAAAGGAGTTTAAAAAACCTAAAAGAATTTTAACCAATCAAGATAGTGTTAGAATAAAATCATAATTGATGGAATTTGAGGTGATCATGATTATTTTTTGAGAAAGGTGAAGCTTGAATGCAGCACAGTATGATCGAAGATTAAAATCCTTTTGCATTAGCCCTTTTTTTTTTAAGGGGCGAAATACATTGTAAAGATAGATGGACCTACTCTTGCAGTCAACCTCCAACCAATATCACATAGTTGTAATGTTGCTTCTCTTTCTCTATTCTATAAATACTATAATGGGTGCTGCTCTAAAGAGCTAGTGTCTCTTGTGCCATCTACTAAAATACATTCTCATGTTACTCGTCATTCAATCAAGTCTCATCCTTTTTCTATGACTGTTCCTAAGTGCTTCAAAAACTCTTATTGTTTTTTTTTTTTTTTTGAACATCAGTTCTTTGGAATTTGGTTCCTTCATCTTGCTTTCCTGATTCATATAATTTGCAATCTTTTAAGTTATCTGTCAATCGTTATCTTGTTCTGTAAACTTTATCTTTTCTCTTCCAGTAACTTATAACTCTAATAGTGGTTGCTTGCAGTCTTGTTGGTAGCATAGATGTTGAAAAAAAAATAAATAAGTAAAGTAATCATATAATAAAAAAAAATTTAGTTCTCAAAATTGGTATTTGGTTTAATTATAATCAACATGTTCCCACTAAATTATGTAAACAAAACATGAATAACAAAAATTCTAGTTCTGGAAAACATATTTATTGATGTTATGTGACTTAGTGATTGATTTAGTGACTAAATTGCTAATTATACTTAAGTACTAATCAAAATAAATTAAGGTCTAATTAAGTACCTTAAAAAAGTAGGAATAAAATCTAATTTCAGATCATTAGTTGTATATGTTTTTTAATGTTTACTTAAAAAATTAAACTCAACATATAAAGTTATAAAGTTGTACATTTTTCTATATTTATTTTTCTATTTTTCTTCCATTAGAGTATTGTTGCTCGATGCATTGTTTTTTTTGATCTTTTACTTTCCCTTGCTCTCCTTTATCTCAAGACTCTTTTCAATGTTGTTTCTGATCAAATAGACCTAGACCTTTCACTTTATCTATCAGCTAATATGGATGTTGTTGGTGAATTTAATGCTCATCACACTGAATGGCTTGGTTCTAGTGTCAGTGATTCTACAGGTGTTACGGCCCGTTTTTCTTCATCATTCTTCTTCATCATCAGAATCCCCCTATCATTGTACCGTTACAATTTCTGTAAAAATGACTGGTACTCTTTCTGTGATTTTCTCTATGATATCCCTTAGGTAGAAATCTTTCGTTTTCCTGCTGTCAAATTTGCTTCTTATGTAATTCCTTAGTTGACATTCATTGCTTGACATGGTATCACTGCAGCTTCTGTATCTAAAGTAATATCCTGTCTAGACTCTTCTACAGCTTGTGGTCTGGGTAACATACCTGTTGTAGTCTTGCAGAAGTGTTCTCCAGAGTTGTCTTCTATACTTTCAAAACTATTTAACAATTGCTAATCAGAGTTTGTTTTCCATCCTGCTGGAAAGCAACATCTGTTTTTCCAAAATTCAAAAACTCTGGAGAGTGATCTGACTCATCTAACTATCGTGCCAATATTCTTCTTCCTATCATAAACAAGTTTTTTGAGTCTTTAATTAACAAACACTTACCTTTATTCTAATAACTTACTTTCTGATTATCAATATGGATTTTGATCTTCTTGTTCTACAGCTGATTTGCTAATCGATAGGTTTTATTGTGCATTAGATAGATGTGGAGAGGTTAAGGCTATCGTTCTTGACATTTCTAAAGCTTTTGATGAAGTTTAACATGCTGGTCTTCTCCATAAGCTTTCTTCTTACGTTATATCAGGTAACATCTTTAAGATAACTGAATCTTTTTTTCACAAATCGATGTATAAGAGTTGTCCTCGACGGACATTACTCTTCTCCATTTCCTGTATTTTCAACTTTTTCTTGTGCTGAATGCACCTTTTATCATAACAGTTGAATGTTGTTATTTAACTTGTTTTTTGTACTGGTTATTATTTAGCTTAAATAACTTTTATAATTTTATTTTATAATTTTTTTACTTTTGATTTTATTTAAATACTTCAAATTAAAATGTTTTTTCAAAGTTTGAATAAGTTTAAATTTTTATGCTGCTTTATTTCTAAGGTATGAATATAAACAAGCGTCGGTTTCTGGTTTATGCTGAATTTGAATCCAAGACGTATTACTCTGCATTTTCTATTGAGTTTGAATGTGTTGCATCAGTAATGTGGGAATTGTACAGAGCAATCAATAAATTGGTAATTTATTTTATTTTTATTTGATCTACATTGTAAATAGTTTGATATATATCTACTTTGTGAAATGTAAAGTCTGAAAAAAATTAAAATGAGGTTAAAGTTTACTTGAATCAACAATTGAGATATTTGAGTTATTAAGAAGTTAAAAAAAAATATGGTTTTTTAATTTCATTATTTTGTTTTAGAACAATATAGCTTATGTGAAGTGCATGATTGAAGCAGCAGTTTATTCTTTGGATAGCTGTTCTTTAGTGAATAAAGTAAAGTGAATGTTTTTGCAGGCTCATGAATTTTATCTAAAACTATTATCTTACTGCAGATATTTATTAAAAGAGCTATTTTATATTGTTATTTATTATTTATTGTTGTTTATTTATATCTTCTGTTTTGCATTTTTAAGTTGAAGAAAACATCATTTACATTTCATCTAACTGTTCATCGACATTTCGCTCTTTTTCTTCATCAGGTAAACTTTTTTTAAAGATTTTTAAAATTTAGGTCTTCACAGGAAGGCGTGCGATTGCACAGTATTTGACCATGGGGTTTAACATGTTTTTAGAATTTAAACATTTATAAAATGCGCCAAAAAAATCAGTTAAAAAAAAACAGTTAAAAATATCATTTTTAAATCTATTTTTTTATGAAAAAAACTTATTTAGACTTCAACTAAATAAAAATTTATTTAAAAGTAATCTTTTTTTTAAAATTTTTTTTTTCAGAATCATTCACCTCCCTAAGGTCGAGAAGGTCACTACAATTAAAGAGGCTACTATAATTGTTACAGAGTTATATATAATTGTTACAGAGTTATAGAGTTGAGAGAAGGTTACAACCTTCTCTCAACTCTATAAGAATCCAAAACATGAACCTTGACAAACAAGGCTGCTGCCTTGAGAAACAAATTGAGCTTAGTACTACCAGGGGCATTGCGGAGATTGAACTCAGAACTTCTTGCTTATGAGGCAAGTACTTTAACACTCCACCACTGCCACTACACCACTACGCCACTACTTACACTATCTTAACAAATAAGAAAATAAAAAGAACTTATCTAAAACTGAAACACAATAAGTAATGTAAACATTAAAGTAATTATAACTCAACTAAAACGCAAAATATAAAGATTATTTAGATCAAGTTTTTAGTTTAAAATAATAAACTTCAAATTTTTTTTTATATTATGGGAAACCATTTTAAATAAAGCTAAATCTTACTTTTAATAATTGTTTAACAGTAATAAATAATTGAACAGTAAACAATAATTGTTTGCCAATTTAATTTATATTATTTGTTTTTTTTTACTAATTTAAAATAGCAAGTTTCTATATAATTTTAGACAACCATAGTCTCTTTACAGAAATTTCTACAAATTTCTTTAAAGAAACATTGTCTAAAAGAGTTTCCTTTTATAAATTCTAAATATATATATATATATATATATATATATATATATATATATATATATATATATATATATATATATATATATTTTTTTTTTAAGCAACACTTAAAACTTATATAATTTGTATAATATAAATTAAAAAGTTAAAATATATTATCAAATATATTATACCACTTTTATAATTTGTTACTACTATTGTTATTAATTTTTATTATTGTTACTAATATAAAAATCATTAGTTAAGATAAAAGTTTTAATATTGTTTATTTTTAATGTATTGTTCTAATGTATAAATATAATATAAAATCTTTATTATTCAACGCGTTTTTAAAATGTAAATAGTGATCAAATTGTCAAAACAAAGTTATTATTTGCGTGGTCATATATTGGTGTTCAATCACATGCTGTAAAGGAAGGCATGACATTTTTTTTTAATTTTGATAATATATTTTTTTTATATTATATAATTATAATATATAATTTTTGAATTATAAATAATTATTTCTAGCACTAGTTGCATTTGCAAAAATAAAGATATATATATATATATATATACATATATATATATATATATATATATATATATATATATATATATATATATATATATATATATATGTATATATATATATATATATATACATATACATATATATATATATATATATATATATATATATATATATATATATATATATATATTTATATATATATATATATATATATATATATATATATATATATATGTATATATATATATATATATATATATATATGTATATATATATATATATATATATACATATATACTCTCTTAATTTGTTAGAATGATGTTATATGTTATATATATATATATATATATATATATATATATATATATATATATATATATATATATATATATACATATACACATATACTCTCTTAATTTGTTAGAATGATGTTATATGTTATATATATATATATATATATATATATATATATATATATGTATATATATATATATATATATATATATACACATATACTCTCTTAATTTGTTAGAATGATGTTAAAACAATTGTAAATTTGGGTTAGGTAAGATCACGATAACCCATGCTGACTTGCATCGGAACTTGTCAAGACTTGCTAACTATGGCAGACGAATGATCGATGTGCTTGTTATAACTTGCTTTTCTTTTACTGTAGAGTTCAGTACCCACATTGATTTTGCTCTGTCAACATGTCGGTACAATTACGCAGTTTTAAAAATGATATATTTTTAATAGGTGACATGAAACATCAAATAACGGGATCAAAGCTTCCTTCTAATAGACAAGTTTTAGCAGTGCTATTTTATAACATTCGTGAAGTGAAATTAAATGTAAATAATTGTGTAAATCTCACTGTTAAGGAGTGTACTATTTATTGGGAAAAGGCACATATACCTACAAAATCGTTTCCTAATTGTGTAAAGAAACTTGTAAAGTTATATCAAGTTTGGAGGGATTTGCAAAAAAATGCACACAAAACCCTAGACGTATTTAAACAACGTCAACAAGAGTTTGTCAGAAACTTAGACAATTTGTTTGATATCGCCCACGCTGATGCAATTCATTTAATTAAAATAAAAGAAGATAAGTTATTTTTACAACAGCAAATGGAGCCAGGTCGACCGGGTCACTTAAATGGTGTAGACAAAAAACTGGCCTATAAAGAGGAAAGGGCGTGTCTAAGAATTACTTAGGAAGAGAAACGAAGATCTAACTATTTCGCATAGTCAATTCCTTCATCATCATTTCATGATACATTACAAAAAGATTCATCATCTGCTTCGGATGAAGAATTACATTTGGAAGAAGATTTGCCAACACAGATCGAGAGCGTGCAACCCGAAACAAGTAAAATATCTATGCAGAAAAACTTCATCACTCCAAAATTAGTAGCAGCGCTAGACAGGTGTCAATTAAGTATGAGAGATTCTGTGTCTATTCTTGAAGCTACTATTGAGGCACTTGGATACAATACTGATAAATTTCCAATAAGTAAGTCCTCAATTCAAAGAATTCGCATCAAAAAGCGCAAAGAACGCGCTGAAGCTATAAAAATATATTTTCAAAATGAGATGAAACAGGTTGTGACCGATCACTTTGATAGAAAACTGTTGCCTGCTTTAGATGCCCAAAAATCAAAAGAAGAACGTCTACCGATAGTTGTTTCATACGGAAATAAAGAGCAATTGATTGCTGTGCCAAGATTAAAAAACTTATCAGAAAGAGAACAGGCAGAGGCGGTTTGGAAAGCACTTGTAGACTGGAATCTTGAGGATAAAGTTCAAATTCTTTGTTGTGATACTACGGCATCTAACACAGGTCGTATTAATGGCACCTGTGTATTGCTTGAATAGAAACTAGACAGAGATTTGCTCATTTTTGCTTGCCATCATCACATATATGAGTTAATATTAAAAACCGTATTTGAAGCAAAAATTAACAACAAGCCCTGATATTCCGCTGTTTAAAAAGTTCCATGATAACTGGAAAAGTATCGACTCTAGTAAAATACAGAGCTTCAAAGAAAAAATCGATTCGTATTTGACTATTTCAGAAATAGAAAACTTGATGAAATTTTATGAATCTGAGTTAACAAAATCTATAGTCCGAGATGACTATCGCAAAATAATTCAGCTCTCAATCATATTTTTAGGCGGAGATTAAAATAGAAGATTTAAAATTAGACCTCCAGGTGCCATGCACCAAGCCAGGTGGATGGCGAAAGCAATTTATGCCCTGAAGATGACACTTTTTAATGATCAATTCAAAATGTCGAATAAGAATAAGGAGGCACTATTAGATGTTTGCTTATTCATTGCAACATCTTACGTAAAGCCGTGGCTACAATGCATTTTAGCTATAAAAGCACCATATCAGGATTTATGCTTTTTAAAATCAATGAAAGCCTACAAAACAATCGACAAAAACATCTTGAAAACAGCTGCGCAGAAATTAAGCCAGCATCTATGGTATTTAAGTGATGAAGTAGCTGCTTTATTATTATTTGACGACAATGTCGACCAAGGAGATAAAATAAAAATGGTTGAAAACTTTAACAGTGACATTATATCGAGCTATGATAAACGCTATATACCATCCAAAGAGGAACTCTGTGGCTCCTTGTATGGTAAGTTTTATTAATAATTATAGCAACTGTTATTTTTATTTAATTATTGTTTTTTAAAGTAAATTGTATTTCTTTTTTTATTTCAGATAAAAACATCTACGACTTTGTTTTAGTGAAAAGTAAGACTTTGTTCATCCAGCTGCAAATTGATCACAGTTTTTTGTACAAAGAACCTTTTTTATGGTCAAATAACGCTTTGTTTCAGGATGCCAAAAAAAAGGTTTCAATGCTGAGGGCCAGCAACGATACTGCTGAAAGAGCAGTCAAAATGATGCAAGAACTCCATGGTCTAATAACAGTCGAGGAGGAACAAAAACAATTTTTATTACGCTGCATGCAAGAACACCGATAGATTTATCCTGATTGCAAGAAACAAACTTTAAAAAGAAAATTTGCAGAATAATGTTTTTTATCTAAAAAATATTAAGATTATCATATATTAATAATATAAATTTTGGGTATATTAATGTTTTATTCAATCAACTTCTCGAAATTCTCTGTGCAAACCCAATTCAAAAATTAATATTTTGTGTTTGGGATCAGGATGGCACAGGTTACCGTTGTCCAATCGCTTTTATATTTGAATATATTATGTGGTAGTGGTGTAGTGGTAGAGCGCTCCCTTCATAAGCGAGAGGTTCCAAGTTCAATCCCCACCACATCCCTGGTAGTACTGCGCTCAACTCGTTTCTCCGCGCAGCGGCCTTGTTCGTCAAGGTTCGTGTTTCGGAGTTATAGAGTTGAGAGAGGGCCATATAACCACAGCCTCCTCATCTGTAGTGGCCTCCTCGTTCTCTGGCCTTCGAAAAATATTAGGCGGTATGCATATGTATATATATATATATATATATATATATATGTATATATATATATATATATATATATATATATATATATATATATATATATATATATATATATATATATATATATATATATATAAATATATATATATACACATATATATATATATATATATATATATATATATATATATATATATATATATATATATATATTTATATATATATATATAAATATATATAAATATATAAATTGATCTCAATAAAAAAGGCAGCTTATAACTATTTTTAAAATATATTTTGATATAATAATATATTAACGATTTTTTGCTGACCTTTTGTGGTCAGCCTATCAGATAATGAAAAAACGTTACAAAATAACAAAAAACCAACCGTTTAAAAAAGAAGACATTAAAAAAGGTAAAATATAAAAACCAATCAAATAATATAAAAATGACATCAATTAAATTTTTTTCAAAATTAGTCTACAAGTTTTTGTTTTCACATTATCCTCGTCATCTCTATTTAGAACAGTTTGCCCAATATCTCTTGTCGAATTTTTGCTTTATTTATCTCCAAGGATTCTCTAACTTTTCTTATCTTTTATTCTGGAATGACTGCTGAGGTCTTAGGATTCAGCCAATCAAAAGTACCACGGCATGTTCTAGAATGTTCCGTGGCTCATGAACTCAACCATTTTTGATTTTTACAGGCGCTTTGGTGTTCCGTACTTCTTGAAGTGATTTTCTTTTTGGTCTCACCAATATATATACTTCCGCATGAGCATTGAAGCTCCTAAACACCCGGATTTGAGTTCGGAGGTAGTTTTGTTTTGTTATTGCATATTATTTTATTTAAATTGGGGGCTAAAGTAAATATAATTCTGATGTTTTGTTTTCTAAATTCTCTTTGGAGTTTAGGGCCAATAATAGGTATCCAAGGTAGTTTAACAAATTGCTTATCCAATTGTATAGATGTAGTATTTTTTGTAACGCAGTTTAAATAGTTTTTGGTTATTTTAATAAGATAACTTTTGTTATAACCGTTTTAAAAGAATGTATCTTTGAGGAAATCAATTTCTTGTGAGAGATGTTTTTTAGAGCAGATTTGTTTTGCTCTACATAGAAATCCTTTAAAGACGCCAGTGATTATGCTTGGGTTGATGTTAGAGTTTGGTTTTATTTGAACATTGGTTATCGCATCCTTATGGTGCACTTGAAATTCATAAAATCTGTTCATTGTATTTGTAATAGAAATATCTAAAAAGTTTAGTTGTTTTCTTTTGTTTTGAAGTTTAACAGTATAGTTTATGGAGGGGTTTTGTTCATTTTAAAGTTTTAAAAAACAGTTCTTGTTTTTCTTTCGAATCGAAGCGAGCATGGGTATTGTCTACATATCTTTTGTAAGTTATTGGTTAACAAAGGCTATATTAAGAGCTCTTTTTTCTATATTTTGCAAAAATGCTTCAGCTCTCAAATCATCGTTCAATATGTTAACAATAACCGGTATTGCTTCATCAATCGGTACAGATGGATATAAATTCACTACATCAAATGAATTTCATTAGGGTCTATCTTCCATTGTTTAGCATCGTTGACAAAATTATTTGAATTAATTAGTGGAATTGTATTTTTATTTAATGTTGGTTGAATAATTTTAACCAGATACTCTGATGTTTCATAAGGTGGTGTGTTAATAGTGGAAACAACAGGATGCATTGGGTAGTTTTTTTTGGTTTTTGACCTTTAACCATTCCGTAGATTCTAGGTGGGATGCAATCTGATGGATACATTTTAAAGTAAAAGGCATTGTCTTACTTACCCTGTTTTCTTAATTTACATAACAGTTTTTGAAATTTAGTCGTGAATGTGGGTCGTAATCAATAACTTAACTATTTTTTATTTGTTCCTCTAGTTTATCTTTTGCTTCATTTTCGTATAATAAAGCAAAACCTGTTCCTTTATCAAATGGATATATCTTTAGATACGAATGTTTTTTTAGGTTTTGTAAAGAAAAGTGCTGTTGTTTTGTTTAATTATCTTTTAATTTTAATTTTGAAGAAGTTAGGATTTTCGAACAGTTTTGTCAAAGAATCTCTGCCTGTGCTTGTTTATTTTGTTGTTGTAAAACACAAGTTTCAATATTAGTGATGGTATCCATATAAGGGATATTCTTTTGTGATGGGACAAACTTTGGACCAAGATTAATTAGTTCAGTGGTTGCCTTAACCAGATTAATATTTGTTAAATTTAGTATAGCTGGTTTTAAAATTTGATTAAGAAGATTTTTTTCAAAATTGATGTTATTTTGCAATTTATTGTATTTTTCCTTCAATGCTAAAGAATGGAGGATAGGCCCTAATGAAATTCATTTGATGTAGTGTTTCATTTGTTTTAGTGCATTTATATCTATCTGTACCGATCGATGAAGCAATACCGGTTATTGCTAACATACTGAACGATAATTTGGAGGATTTAAAAACTAGGACTAAATTAAGTCTTTTAGATATACACCAGTTAATTGAACTTTCATTAAGCAAATGTTACTTTTAATACAAAGATAAAATCCGAATTTTACCTAATTCAGGTCTAAATGGTTTATCGTTGATGGTAGTCATATCTTTTTTTTTTTTTATTTATCTTTTAATATCCTCTATATGATGTTTTTTCAGTGAAAATATAAGGCTGTAAAAAACCATTTTACTGCAACTGAGAATTTTTCAAAGAAATAAATTGTTTAAATAAATAAATTTAATTTAGTCTTTTAAAATAAAAAAAATTTAATTTTAAAATATTAAATTAAATATGATTTTAAAAATTTAAATTTAGTTTTGAAGGAATATAAAATAATAAAACGTTGAATTTAAAATTTCAAATGAATGTAAAATAGTTTCACAACTTTTATTAAAGAAGTTTTTTTCTTATCGTCAGCTTAACAATTTTTATGTAAAATATAAGTCTCTCCATCATAGATTAGATAGATGATAATGTGCGAAAGGAAATTTTTTTTTTCAAAAATTGAGAAGTGATTATGTTGCAATTACAATTATTTTATTGGTAACTGATAAAATCTATCTATAAATTGTTTATTATCTTTATTAAAAATAATGCATTAAATACATAAAAATCAAAATTAATAAATTGTGTCAAACAAAAGATTATGTTAAGTATAAGATTGTTTTAAGAAATAAATTTTAAGGAAGTATAAGCTTATAATTCAAATACTGAATTTAAATTCTATTAATAGTTTTTGTTATATTAATTTAAATAATTTTTAAGGTGATTTAAAAATAAGTTTAATTATTATGCAATGCTTTAAAATACTTTTAAAATATCAGTAGTTTTCAGGCTCCTGTAACAAATAAGATCCTAATAATTACAATACATTGAAAGCAAAGAGTTTCAAAGTATTTGTAAATTGTTTCTTTATATTTTTCAATACTTTGTTGTAAAAAAGACTCAATTTAAGTGAAAAACCTAATGGTGTATATATCAGCAGGTGCTTTATCTGAAAGTAGAAAAGTAAATGTTATCAATAGTTTACAATATTACTTATATTTACGCGTTAAAATTTATTTATTTAATAGGCAATTCGAGAGTATAATGATACATCAGTTATGTCTTCCATTGATCATATTAAAACTATCACAATGAGTTACCTGATTAATTTAATGGTAAGATTTTATTTACATAAATACTATTATTTTAAATAGTTGAAATACCTTTATAACAGTTAGCTAAGTTTCTGTTTGAAACTGCCTATTTGTTTATTAATGTTCTATAAAGTTTTAGAAGTATTTTTGAACTATTAAACTGTTTTAAACAAATATAATTTTTTTCCAAATTTTTTATAAAAATAGCAACCTCCCAATTAATAATGAATTTTGCTAAAGACTTCATTATTTATGGGTTGTTGACAATTTCGATCATTTTTTATGAAAATAATTTTATCATCAATTTTTGTTGCTCTTTTTTTTTAATTTTATTTTTTAAATTTTTATTGAACATATTTTATTGAAAAATATATAAAAACTAATTTAACAGGTTGTAAAGTCTATTGTATATTTAACAACAACATCATAATTGTTCTCTGCTACAAGACATCTTGGTCTTTATTGAATATCATAGTTTTAAATAAAATCTTTATTTGTAATTTTTTCTTTATTTTTTCTTTAAAATTTTTATATCTTTATTTTTAATTCTTTTTGTATACATTTGTATATAGGTTGCAATAAAAAACAAAAAATTATACACAAAAAAAAAAGTTTAGAAAAGTGTTAATCAAATTTAACATTGATTAGACTCTTATATGTGATTGTTTTATTCAGAAATTTTTTTAACACTGTCAACAAATGCTGACAATGTTAAAAAATATTTATATATACAAAAAAGTATATGAAAAAGATCTTTGTGTCTAAAATTTAAGAAAACTTCTAATAGAAACAAAAAACTTGCTAAATATGTCCTTGATATATTTTTTAGTATGTCATTCTTTGTTGGTGATATAGAAAGCATTTCTCTCTCTCTCTCTCTCTCTCTCTCTCTCTCTCTCTCTCTATATATATATATATATATATATATATATATATATATATATATATATATATATATATATATATATATATATATATATATATATATATATATATATATATATATATATATATATATATATATATATATATATATATATAGATATATATATATATATATTTAGAGAGAGAGAGAGAAAGAAAGAAAGAAAGAAAGAAAGAAAGAAAGAAAGAAAGAAAGAAAGAAAGAAAGAAAGAAAGTAAGAAAGAAAGAAAGAAAGAGAGAGAGAGAAAGAGAAAGAGAGAAAGAAAAAGATTTGTTGGATAAAAATATAATTTATAATTTTAATGTATTTTTTTTTTAATGTATAATTTAATTTAAATTAAAAATATTAAAGTTCTAATTAAAATCTTTAAAAAGAAATGTAACAAAAATATTAAAAAAAAACAAAAATCAATTATTTGAATTAAAATTGTTCTTAAGTTGATTAAATTTTGATACAATAAAAATTGCTTTAAATGATTGTTATTGTGATTTGTGTGAGAAAATTTATTTAAGGGTTGTCCATAAACTACATCACGCTCTAAGGAGAGAGGGAGGGGGTTCGTGATTTTGTGACAACATGTTTAGGACTTGTTACTAAAGAGTTAGAATATTGTGATGGGGGGAGGGGTAGTAAGGAGGTCGAATTCAATCATAAAATGGGTGACAATTTATAGATGACCGATATAAATATGATCATATTATAAATATGATCATATTTATAAGTTTATAAAATTTATTATTATTTTTTTGGAAAACAAAAAATAAACTTAAACATGCCAAATCATTATTTAAGCAAAATAGTTCATCAAAACTAAATTTAAATTTTTCAAACAATAGTATGGCTCCTTTATATATATATATATACATATATATATATACATATACATATATATATATATATATATATATATATATATATATATATATATATATCCATTTATATATATATATATATATATATATATATATATATATATATATATATATATATATATATATATGTATGTATATATATACATATATATACACATATATATACATATATATACATATATATGTATATATATATAAGTGTTAAATAATTTGCTTTAAGGTGTCTGTAGAAGAAATTAGAGCAGGACTTTGGCGTTTTAATGGCCACCAGATAACTTGCCAAGCTCAATCGTATATGCAATCGTGCTTCTGTAACTCTATGTTGGATTTGGATATATTTCTTTTACAAGTATGTGAACCTATATATATATATATATATATATATATATATATATATATATATATATATATATATATATATATATATATATATATATATATATATATTTTTTTTTTTTTTTTGTTATAATTTTTGTTTATATTAGATTGTCCCTGTACAATTATATAGAGATAATAATAAAAAAAAAACAGATACCTTTCACAAATTTTCAATTAAAAAACATTGTAAACAATAGAGCAACCTTTAACAATGACAAAAGATTGCATATTATATGAATCAAGAAAACAAAATGAAGGGAACAAATTCCAAAGAACTGTTTGGGAAAAAAACTAGACAAATAAGAATTTTTGGAGCATTCATGAACATTCACAGTAAAAGGATGAGACTTAATTGAATGACAAGTAACAAAATGACTTTTAGTAGATAGCACATAAGGCGCTAGGTTATTAGAGCAGTGGCTATTATAATATTTATAGAAAAGAGAAAGAGAAGAAACATTGTGACAATTTGATAATGGATGAAGGTTGGCTGCAATAGCCGGTCTAAATATGATTACAATGTGTTTTTGTAAATTGTCTAAAAGAAAAAGGGCATCATTCAAAGATCCACCAAAGTTATGCCATCAGTATTCTAATCAAGGATGGATTTGAGATTTATAAAGATTAAGAATAGAATCCAGAATAAGAGAGTGGTGAGCATGATAAAATGATGCAAACTTAGCAGATGCTAATTTTGCAATGAATTCGGTATATGGATTTCAAGAAAGATTTAAAGAAAGAGTTGATCATATAAGATGAAGGGTAGATGACTCATCAAGTACATTAAAAATATAGTCAGATCTATATTCTAAAATATACGTTATTGTTGTTTTTATTATATATGTTAATTATTAGCTGAAAAAGAGTTTTATCTTAGGTAAAGTTTTATCTTAGGTAAAATCCTTTTCTTCAATGAATGAAATCCTTTTCAAGCTCAAATGAATTCATTTTCTCTTCAAGCAATCAGAGAGTGTTGGCTTCTTATTAATTGCTCTTCAGAATTTTGAAAAGTAGAGATAATAAATGTTGTTTTCCAGCAGGCTGGTAAACAAGACTCTAATAAGCACTTGTTAAATAGTTTAGAAGTATAGATGACAGCTCCGAAGAAAACTTCTGCAAGACTATAACAGCTCTGGATTAAAAACATAATTCCAGAGACTTTATCTAATGGTAAAAATTTTGGTTCTAGAATTAATTTTGAGGCTTTTTAATGTTTTTTTTTGAAAAACGTTTTTTTTTAGTTTTACTAGGGTAGTATTGAGTTTTGAAATTATAAAGTTATGTTTCTCATATTTTGTAGTTAATTTTTGTTTACAAAATTTTTATACTTTTAGGTTTTGATTACACGTTGTAATGTTGACGATTTCATAGAAATGCTTGTTGATAGGTATTTTTTTTTATCTTGGCGATAAGTATTCTTTTTTTTTTCATTTAATTGTTGATAGGTATTCTTTTTTTATTTAATTTTTTTTAAAATAAGACAATTGCTAATGGTATTAAAGTTAACAAATTACTAGGTCTATATATATATATTCAAAGCCATTTTCATCTTAAATATTAAATCATATAGAATGAGTTTAAGACTTAAATAAACAATTTGAACTTAACAATTGAGCTTACATCAGACGTGTGAGCTCAATAGATTAAGTTTATAAAAATCAGTGTATAAATGACTAATTCTACATTATTAGACAATTCTACAACTTTTTTTATATTATAAAAAAATTTTAACAAGTGCTGAATATAAACAATGAAATTGCTGCTATCGAAAAGTTCTGTCCTGATAATTTCTTTGGAGAAAAAAAATTATACAATAAAATAATGTATGATTTAAAAAATTACTTCATTAATATTGAATACTTTATTCTAAATTTAAATTTTTAAGTGTTTTTGTCAATAAACTACAACAGCATTGGAGCTTTTTAGAGGTCAATTTTTTATTTGAAAGTAAATAACTAAACGGGTAGTTAGATTTTATAACTAAACAGGAAGTTAGGTTTTATAAATAAACAGATAAACAAATGAATGTTTCTATTTTCATTTTTTTACTGTTTACATATGGTTGAACATACAAGGAGTGTTGCTACATCGACTGACATAAAGGTAGAACACGTAAAGAGTAATGCTACATTGACTAATGTTTGGGCTGGCAATCAGTCAATTATAAAAATTTTTTTTTTCAAGTTTTTCTGGTCTTTTAGGTTAATTAAATTTTTTCAAGTCTTTTGGATTTTTTTTTTAATTTGCATTCACTCCCAACAAGGCTGCAAGCAACCACTATTAAGTTGGGAGTTACTAGGAAAAAAAAGAACAGAGTTATAGAGCAAGGAAACGGTTGACAGAAGACTTGAAAAGTTGAAGGTTGTATGAGTCAGGAAAACATGAAGATGGGAGAGAGTTCCAAAGGATTGAAGTGCGGGGAAAAAAACTAGATGAATAAAAGTTTTTAGAGCATGCAGGGACAGATACAGTAAACGAATAAGACTTAGCTGAATGACGAGTAAAACGAGAATGAATTCTAGTTGATGGAACTAGAGATGATAACTCCTTTGAGCAGTGACCATGATAGTATTTGTAGAAAAGAGAAAGAGATGCAACTTTACGACGATGGGAAAGAGGTTCAAGCTTAGCAGAAAGCCCAGGTCCAACAACATTTACAATGCGTTTTTGGACCTTGTCAAGAAGAGAAAGTGAATCTTTAGAAGAACCAGCCCAAATATGACAACAGTATTCCATACAGGGACGAATAAGAGATTTGTAGAGGTAGAGAATGGAATCAGAAGTAAGGAAATGGTGAGCACAATAAAGAGAAGCAACCTTAGCAGAAGCTAATTTAGCAATCGATTGTATATATGATTTCCATGAAAGGTCAGTAGTAAGCAATAATCCAAGAAGACGTAAAGAGGAGGACTCAGTAAGAGGATTGCCATTCATTAATATAGGAATGTTGACCCTATTACGGTAGTTGTTTGCAGTAAACAACTGGGTTTTGTTAGAGTTGAAATTCACAAGCCACTGTGAACCCCAATGTATTACTGAAGTGAGATTGGATTCAAGATCAGCTGCTTGTTCTAGGCGATCGAAAAGAGAAGACTTTTTGTCAAGACAGGAGTATAAAGTTGAGTCATCAGCAAAAAAAGCTACTTTAGATGAAAGGTTGTCAGGAAGATCGTTTATGTAGATAAGAAACAAAACAGGGCTCAGGATGGAACCTTGGGGAACCCCAGAAGTTACTGGAAATAAAGAAGAGTGTTGACCTTCAAGGATGACTTTAATAAACCGGTTAGAAAGAAATGATTTGATAATCTCAAAAACTTTCCCAGAAACACCATATGAAGCAAGCTTATGGAGAAGACCAGCATGCCAAACTTTGTCGAAAGCTTTAAATATGTCGAGAGCAATAGCCCTAGCCTCACTGCCTCCATCTAATGCACGATAAAATCTTTCAGTTACAGCAGTTAGCAAGTCGGCCGTAGAGCGAGAGGATCGAAAACCGTATTGATTGTCTGACAGTAGTTTATTTGACTCAAGATGAGATGTGAGGAATTTGTTGATCAAAGACTCAAAGACCTTGCTAATAACAGAAAGAAGACTGATCGGACGATAATTGGAGGAGTCAGAATTTTCTCCAGAGTTTTTGAATATTGGAACCACAGATGCCATTTTCCAACAAGCAGGAAAACAAGACTCAGTCAAACACTTGTTAAATAGTTTAGAGAAAATTGAAGAAAGTTCTGGAGAACAATTCTGCAAGACTGTGACAGGAATGTTGTCTGGACCACAAGCTGTAGACAAGTTTAATTGAGATATGACTTTAGCAACAGAAGTCGGAGTGATTTGAATGTCTAACAATGGGTCAACCTGTTTGACTGGAATGGAAGGAAGAAAATGTCCATAAGATTCAAGAGTGGAATTAGAAGAAAAGTTCTTTGCAAATAGTTATGCCTTATCATTGCGTGGTCAGAACCACCTAAGGCAGAAAAGGGAGAAACTGAACATAAGCTAGGGTCAGAGACAAGACATAAGTCAAGGAGCGAAGGTAAATGATTAGGGTTGTCAGGAAAACGAGTCACAAAGTTAACTATCTGAGTAAGAGATTGAGAAACGCAGAAGTTAAAGGCTTTAGTGCCAGCAGGATCAGTGGTGTTAGAGCCAAGCCCTTCAGTGTGATGGGCATTAAAATCACCAACAACAACAATATTGGCAGAGGGGTAAAGAGAGAGGGCATGGTCAATTTGATCAGAGATAACATCTAAAAGAATACAATCATGGGAAGAAGGAGAAGGATAAAGAACAAAGAGAAAGGTGATAGAGTGAAGAGGTGCTAGTCAAAAGCACATAAAAGAATGGTCAAAGGATTCGAACCTGATTTCACAACAAATAGGGGAATTAATGCGAATGTATACCCCTAAACCTAGCATGTGACTATTGGAGTCTTTACGAATCAAAGGATAGTACCCATCAACACTGACATCTGAAGAAGGAATTACAGAATTTAAATTTGTTTCACTGAGTGCAAGCAAGTCTGGTGAATTTTGCAGGAGGTAAGACTCAACTGATGGAAAGTTGCTTCGTAGACTGCGAATAAAAGATATATTAAAACATTTAGGTGGTGGGGATGGTTTTTTAGGTTTTAAATTTTTGGTTACTTTGGTCATGATTTGGGTTTAATGAGAACTTGACTCATTCATAGATAGAGCACAGCCTCCTAATCAATGAGCTATGCAGTTGTCTCAGTCCTGTTAATTAACCCTAAGCCGTGACATAGGGCTCCTTTTGTGACAATGCACACCAAAAGCATTAACAGGGACACCACCCATGCGCAACACGGCACTGTTAATACTATGATATTTTGCAGCTGTTGATGGAATCAGCCTCTCTGAGAGCTACCTCAGAGTTTGGGAAACCTTACTACCAGCCGGTCTCAGAACCATTAAACTGTTTTAGAGCTGTATGGTAGATAAAAGGAAGAGTTGCATAGCCATTATCAAGGAGGCATAAGCAAAATTCTATGAGTAGAATCAAGGAGATCCAGCATTCATCATCCTAGGCAGGAAACAATGTAACACAGGTTACATCTACGCCAGCCTAATAGATGAAGAAGGGGTTCGAGGCTGGTTAGCAAAATTTTTCTGCTTACCCCTAAAGTCTTTGCCTAGGAGGCCTTCTACAAGACAGTAGCTGGATGCAGTTAACATCTGCCCAAGATGAGTATTTTTATCGAGACACCATCTCTAGCCTTTACTCAACGAAGAGCCCCAAGGCAGGGCATGTTTAGCTGGATGTAGTTAACATCTGCCCAAGATGAGTGTTTTTATCGAGACACCATCTCTAGCCTTTACTCAACCAAGAGCCCCAAGGCAGGCAGGGGAATTTTTAGTCTGAGTTTATTTCTTTTAGCCTTTGCCTAAAAAGAGCACACTCTGCAAGGCAGCATGGCTTGTGGCAGGTGGTACTGGGTTACGTGATACCAGTAGCAAGATTGATCTTGATTACCCTGACCTGGAGTTAAAAGGAGTTACTTCCTGCAACAGTACTTTGAGAAAACCAGACATGACATTTTGGAAGTGCATTAGGAAAAACACTGCATCTAACAAAATACAGGAGTCTAAGGTGAGTGTAGGTTTTGTAGTTGGAGTAAGTAGTTAGTTACTGAGCTCATGCTGCATCAGAGAATAAACAGAACACAAACAGACATAAATCAACTTACGGGTGAGTCAACACCGTGCCAGAGGTTCAGACAGAACATAAACATACATAAAAAACATAAAGTAACTTATGGGTGAGCGAACACCGCGCCAGAGGTTCAGACAGAACACAAGCATACATAAAAAAACATAAAAAACATAAACATAAAGTAACTTACGGGTGAGCGAACACCGCGCCAGAGGTTCAGACAGAAAACAAACATACATATAAAGTAGATTACGGGTGAGCTAATACAGTAACTAAGGCGCCTCCAATTATATATAAAAAAAAAAAATAATAATAATAACTATAGGCATGACTGATATAAGATAGTACTGATGACAGGAAGAACACTCCTTCCAGCCTTTGCTTAGAAAGCAAATCCTGCAAGGCAACAGAACATGAAACAGGTTGCACTGGGTTACATGTTACCAGTAGCAGGATGATCATGAAGACCATACTCCTGACCTGACACTGGTTTACATCAAATAGATGAAGAAGAGGTGAGAGGCTATGGTCTTTACCTAGGTGGACTTCTACAAGAAAGAAGCTAGATACAGTTAACATTTGCCCAAGATAAATATTTTTATCAAGACACAATCTCTAGCCTTTACAACTTTATCAGCAAACATTGTTGTAGTGGATTTGCAGAGGACCTATAAAGGCAGTTAAATGGAGTTCAACTCATCGTTTACTAAAGTGGCCAGCCGATAACTTTTCAACAATTGATATAGTAGTTGTTCAAGTTATCCACTTTTGGCTGCTGCCACTAATGGTCCATTAAGTATATGATGACCAAAACTGCAACCACCTACAATGCCTAAATAGGTCCACTAAAATTCCTATTTAAATGTTTGATGTGTTATATATTTTTTTACTAAATGTTAAAACTAAAAACCATAAATTATAAAAAATTCATTTATATAGAAAAAAATATCAACTCTTTTCCATCTTTAAATTCATTTTTCTCTAATTTAAAGTTGGATAAGTTACTAAAAAATAAATTTTATCATATAATAAATATAAATATTGATTTTGATTATAATTATTTATTTGGAACTTTTAAAGAACAAAAAATAAAATGGCGAAATTATCTAAATCTATCTTCAAAGGATTATTTAAAGCAGATTTTGAAATGTCTAATACAACTAAAGCCTTAATTCTTTTGTGTGATTTCTTTTTGTAAAAGGTTCAAATGAATTTAATTTAAAAAACTAAACCAGTTGTAACAGTTGATTTATATAAAAGATAGGTATGTAAAAAATTTTGCTTTTTGCGCGTGTCAACCTAAAAATGATGTTTGGCCAGCACTTTTGCATGCGCTGGTATTAAATTTCAAATGGAGAAGACTCATTTATTTGTATAAAATTTAATTGATAAAATAATAAAATAAATATATATAAACTATAAATAATAATAAATAGATAAAAAATAAATTTATTTACATTTTTTACAAGTTTAAAAAGATAACTTTTATTATAGTTTCAGTTATTTCTAAAAAAAAATTAATTTTTTTACAAACTAAATTGTAACCATGTAAATATACAATCTGATCAACTGAGGTGTTGTTTTTTTTAGACTTTCACTTAGACAATGGCTTCATTTTACTGAAAAAAATGATAATGGCGAAAATACAGATGAAAACTGTTTGCTTTTCGTACAAGGATTTCTTAACATTATTCATATGTTGCTTTCTCATAGAGTGTATTCAGGTAATTTTTTTTCTGTTTCAATTTTTTTTTTAACTATTGGACCATAAAACTATAAATAAAAAATGTTCTGCTTCTTTGATGATTAGATATATTACAAACAATTTTTGAATTTAGTGTATTTCTAACAAACAATTAAAAAAAAATTCTTTTATAAAAATTTGAATTATTTAGGGCTATCTGAGGATGAACTTTTACGCAAAGATATGATTGCCAATTTATGTGTTGCTGATCGTACTCACAGTCAGTTAGCAGAAATTGTATCTTTTAAAAAAAAATTAACAATCCTTAAACTGCAGACTTTTGATTCAAGTTACAATTTTGCACAATTCTTTGTTGTTTTTTTTAAAAAAAAGATACTTACAATGTTTCTTTTACACTCTATCATTAACTATCTTTCTCTTGCGATATTTATTTTACACCCTTTCATCAACTCTTTTTCTCTTGTAATATTTTTTTTACACCCTTTCATTAACTCTCTTTTCCTTAAATTATTTCTGTTACACCAATTCATTCTCTTTACCTTAAATTATTTCTGTTACAGCAATTCATTCTCTTAATAAGGGTAATTTTATTGACTCTCTTTATCTTGCAAACCTTAAAACTTCTACACATTTTTCTTTACATCCTCACCTTAGAAAAAAATGTAAAAAAAATCATTTTTTTTTAACATTTTTTTTCTTACACTCTTTTCTCTACAATATTTTTCTAAAACAATATTATTTTACTTTTTTTTTTAATATCTTTTCCCTCTTAACTACAGTTAACTGCTCCATAATCTTATCAATAGAAGTTTGTATTTTTAATAATCAAACAGTAACTTTCAATTCTTTTATATAATTAATAATAAATGTTTTCTTTAACATTAACTTTTAGGTTGCTCTAAGGCCTGCAAACACACACTGCTCTTATAAAAACTTTGACCAACTGTTGTCTGAAGTATTTTTTTTTATATAACATTTTTTGTTTATATTTTATGTCACAGGCATCACTTTTCAATCATATAGAACAGGTACCTGGTCTTGAATCTGATCTTTTGTCTGTAACAGCTCAGCTTGGCATGTATATTAGGGCAGGCCAAAACCATGCTTTTTTTTAAATTTTGACAAACAGTACTATGTGAATTTTTTGAATTGGTATAATAAAATATATAGACTTTTTTTTTTACACACACCCCTAGGGATTGCACCACATACCCTAATTTTTCCAAAAAAAAAATTTTGTAAAAAAAAATTTTTTTTTTGGGTATACATTCTTTTAACAAAAAAACTTAAAGCAAAAAAAAAAAATTGTTGCTCAATTTCATGAAAAAATCATGTCAGATATCATCATGTCATCATGTCATCATGTCAGCATAAGAACTTTTGCATTATGTAATTTTTTAGTTTATTCTATTTGTTGCATTTTAGTCTCTATACATAGTATATTTAGTGTTTATGTATATATTTGTCTACTTTTTATTTTTTAGTAATTAAAAATAAAATTTAACTAATATTAAGTAACACATTGTATCATGGCAACATTTCATGTATAAAATGTTCAAGTTTACTGTGAGTATGAAGTTTACTGTGAGTTTCAGTTTTACTGTGAGTATGAAATGATCAAGTTGTGCTCATAAATGTTGTTGTTTAGTTACCACTGAAATAGAAAATATTTGGCGTAAATTCAGTTTTTCAACAATCGAAACAGAGGGAGTATTCTCAAAAGTATATAGATTAATGGAAAAAGCATCCAATTTAAATAAAACTTCAAGACATAGAAAAATTGCTAATTTTTATGACAAATTGAAAGCTTTTGACAACATGTTTGATCTATGATCAATTGTTATGATTTAGGAGTAGAAAAATAGAAATGCAGATGTACTTTTAAAGTGCCAATAAAAGAGTGGGATGCGTTTGTTGGGCAAAAAAAACGCACAAATCAACTTGGACTACTTGATTGTGCCTACACATCTACTTTAAAGAAAACTGAAACTAGAAAGAAAAAAATTTGTAACAAGACAAAAACAGTTAGACACACATAAAAATGTTGAGAAAGACATTGATAGACAAATTACTAATGAATCTAAGGATAATATTATATTAGATGAATCTAATAATGAATATGATAAGCTATATGACTCTGATGTCATAAAAATATGTAATCAAAATAGGTTTCATTACTATGAACTAGCAATCATAGCAGATTGTTATTGTGTCAGTTGCAGAGCATATGTTGCTATTGTCAATGCTGCTCTAAAAGACGGGTATACTAAATGAATCAAATATGCTTGATAGGAAAAGAGTAGAAAGAGAAAGACTTTGTGTAGGACAAAAAAATGTTAATGAGAGAAAATGCCAAAATTTGAAATTACTGGCTTTGATGGAAGAAAAGACAGTACAATAACAACTGCAGGGATAATTAAAGAAGAACATATTACAATTGTTAGAAAACCAAACAGCAGCTATATAAATCATCTAACACCTGATAATGGAGCTTCTCGCTTCTTGCATTGCTAATGAAATTCTCCATTTACTATTTGAAACTTTAGATGCTCTCTTATGTGATGCATCTGTAGTAAATAATGGAAAATTCGGAGGGGTGATAAAATTAATTGAAACTGAACTCAATAGACCAATGCAGTGGCTCATTTGTAAACTACATTTAAATGAACTTCCCTTTAAACATGTATTTGAGTTGATTGATGGAAAATCTTCTGGACCTGGATCATTTAAAAGAAAAATTGGTAAAAAAATAACAGAGGACTTAACAAATTTAGTAGTAGTTCCTTTCAAAAAAATCAATGGTTCTTTTCATTTAATTCCAGATAATATCTTTAGTGAATTAAGTTCAGATTAAAAATATCTTAAAAGTATCTGTTTATCTATTTAATCAGGAGATGTTTCAAATGAAAGCTTTCAAAATTCTCCTGGAAGCATTCATCATGCTCAGTGGCTCACAAGTGCAAATTGTATTCTACGCTTTAACATTTCTACAAAAAAGCCAACAAAAGAACTTATTGACTTGGTTACAATAATTATGCAATGCTATGCACCAGGATAGTTCCAAATCAAATCAAATTATTTGGCAATCAATGGCACTCAAAATTTTTGTTATTTTGTTCAATTAATTAAAAATGCAGTTATTAATGTAAAATACAAGGAGGTAATGGAGCAAGTTTTGAAGCAAAACTCATATTTTTCTAACCCAGATAATATTTGCGATGATAAGTGGTGAAAGAAAACAAGTTAGAACTACAGCCATTTAAAGGATACTTAAATCCTGTAATACTAGTGAATCCAATAGACATTTTAAACTTTCTACAACATTAAATCTTGGAGCTAAAGATTACTGTGAATTATTAAATTAGGACGAGGAAGTTCATTCACCACCTTTACTGAATGATTATTCAAATGAAGATATTTTGAAAGCCTATGACAGAAAGTATTTTTAAATATCCTTGTCATAGTCAGAATATGGAAAGAATAGTTGTAGTAGTTAAAACGTTATTTAAGGTATGAAGTTAATAATTCTGAAATTGAGCAACAATTTTTTTTTCTTAAACTTCTTTTGTTAAAAGAATGTATACCCAAAAAAAAACAATTTTTTTTTTTTTTAAAAAATTGGGTGTGTGGTGAAACCCCTAGGGGTGTGTATAAAAAAAAAACTATACTAAAAGTATGGTTTTGACCTGCCCTAGTATATATATATATATATATATATATATATATATATATATATATATATATATATATATATATATATATATATATATATATATATATATATATATATATATATATATATATATGTAATTTATATAAAAAAATTTGGGTGGCGGTACCCCCTCATTCTGGCAAACTTTAGCAAAAAATCAATGCCATAAAAACGTAAAAAAAAAAAAAAAAAATCATTTTGGGCGGTCCCTAATTATGGTCAACGCTATCAAAAATGCTTTGGAATAGCTTATATATATACATATATATATATATATATATATATATATATATATATATATATATATATATATATATATATATATATATATATATATATATATATATATATATATATATATATATATATATATATATATATATAAAAGAGAGCTGTGGGCTCCTCATATATATAAATATATATGTATACATGTATGTTTTTAAATATTTTTTTACTATTATAATTTTTAATCTTAAAGGTTGCAGACTTTAAACCACCTGCAGCTGATATGTCTGGTCTTCAGCAAGGTGTCTATGTTCCTAAAGGTAATAGAATTAATGATTATATCAAAACATTGTAAATAAAAAACATTGTAAATAAACAAAACATCATAAAAAATTAATATTTCCTGCAGATATATCTTATACTGCTTGTTTAGGTGAGCAGTGTAACATCATACTGAAATTACTTCAGTACATACATCGACTGAGAATTAGCCTGAATTGCAGCAGAGTGCTGCCACATTGACTGAGGGTTTGATATGGGGCAGCAATCTTTTCTTTTTTTATTCTTCATTTCTTTCTTCTTTTTCTGAAAATGCATATTTAATTATAGGGATCCCAACCTCTGAAGCATGTTGTGGTTATATTAAAGAGAATGATAAAAAAAATGTTTGGGCTAAATTTTTTTGATTAAAACAAAAGAATAAATGATTACCAAGAAAAACTTTTTTTATTTTAGTTGAAGCTCGCCTTCTCTGTTTTATTGTAAAAATCAGCATAATTTACGTCGCAATCTACAGATTTGTTAATTCATTTAAGTACGTTTTATTCCTAAGTGTTTTAGTACATGACGTCATTGACTATATCCAAAGTTTCTTTTTAGCACAAAATGTGTAAATATTCTAATAAATAAGACAACTTTTTTAATTCAACTATATCATAGCCATCATCAGTTAAAATATATTAAAAAGCTTAAATCAAATTATTAAAATTAAGTTGAACTAATAGAGACCTTATAATAAAAAATACAATAAAAATGCAATTAAAAAATGTAACAAATGTTTTAAAAAAGATATAAGGTAAAAGAACCAGTAATGTTAAAAGTAACTAGGTTAAAATTGTCATTTTTACATGGTTCATTTGTTTATAAATAGTGGGTTTTTCCCACTCTATGTACATGCTTTCTTTGAGTTTTAATATAAATTTGTTGAAGGCCGAATCCAAGATTGAAAAACTAGCATGATTAAAACTACTAAAACAGCTTTCATTTGAATGAATATGTTTACAAATGTGTAAGTTTGTATCCCTTTTTTGGTGCTTGGTTATTCGTGTCTTTAAATGGCAAGTAGTTTCGCCAATATAACAGGATTTACAGCCTGGGCATTCAAATTTATAAACAAATAATGAATTAAAGTCTGTAGGAAAAGGATCTTTTGTGGAAAAATTTTTTGAAATTTTAAATGAAGTAAAAACCAATCTTACGGTGACCGATTTACATTTTTTAATTGCATTTTTAATTGCATTTTAAAAATGTGTGATGATGGTTAGAACATGTTTAAAAGGGATTTTAGTAAGAGATGACCTTATATAAAATTAAAAGTCATTCAAGCTCAATGTAAGCATGATTTTATATAAAGCATGCTCATAATTAACACTGCATTGTGACAAAACATCATTATTAAAGCAAAACAAACAAATTATTAAAACTGTTGCTAAGTTAGTTAAAAATAAGTTTAATGTGTGCTTTTGATTTTCTTAATTTTTTTGTATTTTATTACTTAATTTAATTTTACTTAACTAAATACTTAACTGCTCATTTATTAAAAAGTTATAGGAAAAATTTGTTTAAGTCAAAACAGTTTGTATTTTCTCCTTTTAATTTTATTGAATTCAAAGATTTCTTAGTAAAATTTGGATTTTGTTGCATAATGTCTATGAGAAAGTTTAATTATTCCTTATTTACCTAATTATCCTTGTTGATGCTTGAAATATATCAACTGATAATAGTTTAATGATGAATATGGAAGTAAATTTTTAAACAACATTGTTACCAACATATATTTTAACAATGAGCGACAGTTTAAAAATGGAAACATGGAAATTATGGGGCTTTTTAAGCCCCATAAATCATGAAAAAATAAACAAGAAGACACATAACAACATAGTACATATATTAATTCTTTGAGAATGTATATATATATACATAAATGTATATATATATACATATATGTATATAAATATATATATATATATATACATATATATATATATATATATATATATATATATATATATATATATATATATATGATATATATATATATATATATATATATATATATATATATATATATATATATATATATATATATATATATATATATATATATATATATATATATATATATATATATATATATATATATATATATATATATATATATATATATATATATATATATATATATTAGGGTGGTGCTTAAAACAACTTTTTTGAGAAAAACCTGCTGGTACCCCCCTAAATGTGTTTTATCTAATACAAAAACACTAGGTTTAAAATTTTTTTGAACAAAAAATATTTTTAGGGGTAGCTCAAGGCCCTCAAAAATTTGACGGGTCCCTAATATTTTGAAAAAAAAACTTTTTCTAAAGTATGTCAACCTGGTACTCAAAAGAAGCGATATTATATAAAAACTTCAAAAATAAGAATCATTTTACATAAAAATCATGCCTAAAAAAATTATTCTCAAAAAACCTGAAAATATTGACTTTTTTCATTTTCAGCTTAAAAACAATAGTTTTTATGCATTTATAACTGAAAAAATTATTTTTGTAAAAAATTATTTTCATTTTTAAATTTTTTATATAATTTTGCTTATTTTGAGTACCAGGTTGACATACTTTAGAAAAAGTTTTTTTTTCAAAATATTAGGGACCCGTCAAATTTTTGAGGGCCTTGAGCTACCCCTAAAAATATTTTTTGTTCAAAAAAATTTTAAACCTAGTGTTTTTGTATTAGATAAAACACATTTAGGGGGTACCAGCAGGTTTTTCTCAAAAAAGTTGTTTTAAGCACCACCCTAATATATATATATATATATATATATATATATATATATATATATATATATATATATATATATATATATATATATATATATATATATATATATATATATATATAGACATTTATTATATGTATATATATATATACATATATATATATATATATATATATATATATATATATATATATATATATATATATATATATATATATATATATATATATGCACATATATATATACATACATATATATGTATATATATATGTGTGTGTATATATTTTTTTTACTATTTGCATTTTAGACTGTAGATTTGCAAACCTAATTATTTATAAAATGAAGACAAAAGACTAATGAAAAAAATATATTTTGCTATAAGATCTGCATACCTACATATTATCTTAACACTAACTCATGAGTTAATATAAAAATGATATGATTAATTTTTACTATTTATTTATAATTTATAAGTCACATTTATTTTTATTTTTCTAGATGAGATGTGGGAGCAAGAATATGATTATATGCACATTTATTTGCGTATTTTTAAAAAGAGCGACCAGCAAAATTCGTTGGAGCGATATAATAAAGTGTAAAATGTTTTATATTTCTATTTCTAATAAGAAATTTTTATTGAAAAAATGTTTCTATTAGAGATGTTATATTAGCAATGTTATAAAAGGGACTCTATTGTTAAAAGTCATAAAGTCACTATTTATTATTTTTTAGCTTTTGGTTTTCAGTAGCACTAAAAATGTTGAAAGACTAATGGACTATTTTTTGCAAAAATATAGGACATAAATATACAAGAGATTATCAATTTTGTTTTTATGTAAAAAAAATATGGACATGGACTATAAAAAAATTGGGTTTTTTAATTTATTTTAATCTCCATTAAGTTCATCTCCATTAAGTCCATCATCTCTATCATCTCTGATTTATATTTGTTTTTATTTTTTTAACATTATTTGATAGAAATGTGTTTTATACTGTATAGAATGTCAAAGAGGTACAATTCATCTGCATCCTGTTACTGGCCCCCTTCAAAAGCTTTTCCTAAACTGCATTCAGCTTATGAAGGTCTATTCAAGTGAGATATGGTTTTTATTGTTTTTTTTTCTTTTCTTATCTGTTTCAATCAAAATAAATTAATTTACAAAAAAAAAGAATATAAGTTTACATAAATTGATAAAAACTTCCTTATTTACAAACTGATCTAACAATAATCATGTTAATAGTGATAAAAATAAAAGAATAATAATTTTACCAACAAGAAAAATTGTAAGTCTAATAATTATACCAATAAAACATTATAGATGACTCCTGGATGAAACAATAAAAACTCTTAATAAATATAAATAATAAATGAAAATTTAGTGTAACCATGTCTGAGGATCTTTTGGTTCTGAACTTATTTAAATCATGAAACCAGATAGCATCAATATTAAAAAAAACATGATTTTACTTTTTAGAAATAATATCTGATAAAGCATTTTTATTTTGATCTATTACGACTCTAATTAAAAAAGAAACTTATTTCGAGAATCTAAGAATGTTTATTAGTGAATATTTAATAAATGATTACCAGATAATAAAACATCAATATATGATTTTTGTTTATATAACTGTTAATGGAGAAAACTGACTGTTTATAAAACTCAATATTTATTTATTTTTTTTTTATTTTTTTTTGTAAAACTATTACAACTCTTTTAATTTAATTTATATTAATTAATAAGTAATTATTAGTAATTATCTTTTATTTAATATTTATTTATTTAATATTTTTAATATTTGTAATTATTAATTAATCTTTCGCTTAATAAACAAGATTGAGTTATATATCATTTAAAAATTTATTTAAATATACAGATAACTATAATAATATATTTAAATAATAAATATATTTAAATATTGTTATATTATATCAGTTTTAAAATTGTTATATAATATTAAAGTTAAAAAAAGTTTAAATGACTTTTTAGGATGGTGCATACTACTTTTTCACTTTCAATTTATAAAAAAAAAAAAATCAATTTAAGTTATAATTATCAAGTGAATCGCTAAACTTTTATTATAGACTTTTTATTTCAATTATCATTCTTAAACATTAGATTTTATTAGACACAATCTTAGTTAGTATACCTGTTTCACAAGTATAATACAACCATGCTTACTCCACTCAGAGTTTCCACCATTATATGTCTATTCCACCATACATGGTTGCATGTCTCTATTTACGAAGGTTTTCAATAAAGTATAAGAGAAAAATTAAAAGAAATTAAAATTGAAGTTTAAAAAAATATTTTTGATTTTAAAACTTTATGTTATTATAATAACAAAGAATTATATAATCTAAAGATATTTTTCAGGCTGTTCAGAAGTAAGAAGTTGCAGCAAATTTTAATATTTATTTCATACCAGGTTAGTAGGTTACAGCAATTTTTATTTAGCATAAGTGTATTTATCTATTTGACATATAGCCTTAAAAAATTCAATTGGCCCCTAATAAATATGTTTTTCAAAAGTATGTAGTACTTTTCAAATGAAGCAAAGTTATATAAAGTTTCAAAAATAGTTATTCTTTTATAAAGAAATTTAGAGTAAAATGGGGTCAAATGGAATAGTTAGGGATTTTATTTATTTTTTTACGAAAAAAAGAATTTTTTTTTTTAAAAATAAAAATCAAATTTTATTTTTAAATTTTTTATGAAACTTTATTTGATTAAAAAAATGTTTATTCCATTATACACTGACATTTAAGGAAAATGAAATGCGCAAATACATGTGTAATTAAAACAACACTTTATTAAAAAAACAAAATGCAATCAATAATAACAATTTAAAAATCAATCAAATAAAATAAACTTTTTTATTCTTGTGATGATGTTGAATCGTTCAGAGGTACTAGAAGTTCAGTTAAGTTTTCAGTTGTACAGCTCTTTTTGGTGCAATAAAACTCAGTGCCTTTTATGTATTGCTTTGGTATGCATGTTTGACATAGCCAAACCTTGCAATTTGAATTTTCACACTGGAACCATTCCATATTTTCTGCACTTTTTACAATTAAATAGGTTTGCAGCTAATATTTTCATTTGACTTGTTGCTTGGTTTATTTGCTATTTGCCATTAGAGCTAAGCTTACATTATTTTTTAGCTTGCTTTGCTTCTTTTTTGCTCTCAGCATCTTTTAACCTTTCAAGTATTTCAGGTTTCTTGAGACACTCCCCTTCAAATCTCGCACATATACATTTTTTCTTTTTTTTGTTTCAATGTGTTGGATACAAAACATTTGTTGCAAAGCTGCTGCAAGTGATTGGGCTGATTGCAGTTGTTTTTTAACCTTTTTTTGAATTTCCTTTTTGAATAGCTTGAGTTACTTCAACATTGAAGGTTGTTTGCAGGCAGGGTGACTTTTGAGGTGGCTTTGGAGCTGATGCTATGTGACATATGCTGATGCTAGATGTTGGTGTAGATTCAGAGGGCAGTGGCTGAGGTAGTGTAGTTTCTGGTGCTAGATATGGTGATGGCACTATCATAGGTTCTGGTTGTTGAGATGATGAAGGCTCAGGTTCAGAGTTTTAACAAGGCTAAAAGTAGCAAGGCCACGACCCAAGACCAAGGCCACATCTTACAAGGCCAAGGCCAAGACCAAGGTCAAAAGTTACAAGACTAAGGAAAAGGCGAAGAGTTTTAAGTTCAAGGACAAGAACAAGAGTTTCAAGGCCAAGGCCTATGCATACATTTTCAAGACCAAAGACTTGAATTTTTATGTTTAGACCAATTATTAACAAAACTGTATGGAACAGTTGATGTGAATATAAAACCAGATGTTGTAAAAATAAACCAAGGTTATGTGCAGAATTTAAATAAGTCAATAAGAAAATATACTTGTAGATATATATGAAAGCCAAAAACAAAAATACATATAAATAAAGAATGAAAAGTTTTAATTTAAGTTTTATGTATTTTTTATTTAAAGGCTAGAGCCAAAACAATCAAGGCCAAGGCCAAAATTTTCAAGGCCAAGACCAAAGCCAAGTCCTTAATTTTTGACCTTAAGGCAAGGCTAAGGCCAAGGACTAACAACTCTGGGTTCAGATGATGGTCTTCAATTGTATTAGCAATTTGCAATTTTGACTGATCAATTTTATTGGTATCAAGTGGTAACAAGCCAGTATTCTGTAACTCAGTGACTATTTGGGTATCTATAAAAACTTCACCAGAAAAGTTGAAAAGATTTTTTGCAGGCGATTAAAACAAACTCTTTTGACATGGCAATAAACACCAACATCTAGTGGCTGCAGTATATGTGATAAGTGATCTAGTAAGCACATTAACAAGATAATGTTTTTAATGCAAATAAGTAGGACCCGATAAGTGACATGTGTCACATGTCCATCTATGACTAAAATACGAATACCTAAAATTAAATTGATGTAATCTTTTGTGTATGTAAAATTAGATAAATATAATCAGATAACTAAAAGTAGATTGAACTAATTACCAAAATTATCAAAATTCTACAAATGACATGCAGTGTTTTTGTTGATACCTGCTACGTTGAATTCTCTTTGCAGTGTGTTAGAATAGTATGCTACTATTTCTGGTGTACAAGAAATGGCATAGGAGTCATAGGTTGAGCATAGGAGTCATAGGTTTATGCTCAACCTATGACTCCACCGGTTTATAAAAAGTAAAAACTTTTTATAAACCGGTGGAGTCATAGGTTGAGCATAAACCTATGCTCAACCTATGACTCTCATCTCTTCCTGATGTACCATTAGGAAACAAATGAGATTGACCTTAGTGTTGTAAATAGTCAGTAACTAGTGTGATGACGTTATTGTTAGTTATACCAAAGTCCCAATCAGATAATTTGATGAGCATATCTACCAACATTGATTCAAGTTTCTTTGAAAATTTTGCGCTTGAACCATTGCTAATTGTTTCACCTATGCCGTGGACGCTTGTGGAGAGTTGCTACTGGTATGTTGAATGGTTTAGCAGATTTGTTAAGTGGAAATTCATCGCTTTTTATAGTTTTTCTTTTTTCTTTACATGCAAGTTGTTTTGAGGCATATTTTATATCAAAATGGATTTAACAATAATCCATATGAAATTTATGCTCAAAATTTACAGATATAGCTCAGTCATTTGAGACTTAATTAATAAAAACCGCATTTAACAAGAATTAACTAGCGTATTTCATTCATTCATTAGAATAATTTATTAAATGCAGTCAGTATAAGTCATTTAATTTTCATTAAAAAAATTTTTTCAATACAATTGAAAAAAACAATATTTTCTGTAAAAACATTAAAAAAAAATTCAATTTGGGCAGCGTCCAAATCGGCACCCAAATACGGTCAACGCTGTTGAAAATGGTCTAGCCCCTGATATATATATATATATATATATATATATATATATATATATATATATATATATATATATATATATATATATATATACACATATATGCCTGTACATAAAATCATATACATATGTGTGTATGTATATATATACATACTTAAAAAAATATACATATAAAAATTATATGCAAATGTATATATACACATATAAACACACTTGTTTGCTTGTGTATGTATGTATATATTCATATTTTTATTCATATTCATAACTTTGTATTGACATCGCAAATGGAGTTTTTAACAGCGAAAAGTTGAAAAAGAAAAAAAAATTGTTAAGAATAGAAGATTGGAAAAAATTAATGAAGTGAAAACAATGAAAATAATAAAGACTATAAATTGAAGAAAAATATAAAATAAACGCAACAACTAAAAGCAAAGTTTAAAGAAAAAATGTTCTTGAGATATTCGAAAATAAAAAATTTTAATAAGTTATCAAAAGAAAACGAAACAAAAAGTTTTATTAATCAATGTTGTTTGCATTGTTTATACTGTTGCGTATTTTTGTGTATTGTTTATAGTATCGTGTATTTCTTATAATGTCGTGTATTTATATTTTTGTTTATACTGTCATGCAATTTTGTGCATCGTTTAAATTAAAGTGTTTATTTGTGGATTTTTATATTGTCATTCCTTTTTTTTTTCTTCTGGTGTTGCTTTTTATTTGTTGATTTTATTCAAGTGATCTCATATTTTTGTGTCTCGTCATAATATTTAAAAATATCTTTTTGTTTTCTTTTTTATTTTCTATCATCCTTCTGATCGTTAATGTTGTGTTAACTCATTCATTCAGTATCTATCATGTCAGCTCATTCACTTTTTCCTTTTTTATTATCAGTCTGGCTTTTTTAATAGTTACTGTTATTCTTTTTATTATTTTTTGGTCACCAATCTTATTACTTTTGTTGTTTTTATTTGTTTATTTTATTAAGGTGTCACTCCGATCACTAGTTTTTAACTAAACGAGTGACACCAAACCTAATTTTGTAAAATTATTAATAAATCTGTTGTTTTTTTCAATATTATGGTTAAATAATTGGGTAAAAAACATATTTAACGATATATAACTATATGCAACTATATATAACTATAGACAGCTATCTAAACATGCATTTATATATATATATATATATATATATATATATATATATATATATATATATATATATATATATATATATATATATATATATATATATATATATATATATATATATGTATATATATATATATATATATATATATATATATAAAATATATATATATATATATATAATATATATATATATACATATATATATACATATATATATATATATATATATATATACATATACATATACATATACATATATATATATGTATATATATGTATATATATATATATATATATACATATATATATATATATGTATATATATATAATATATATATACATATATATACATATATATATATATATATACATATACATATACATATATATATGTATATATATATATATATATATATATATATATATATATATATATATATATATATATATATATATATATATATATATATATATATATATATATATATATACTAAAATTAATTTAAGTCATTTTTATGCTTTCAAAAATGGGTTTACTCATTGTTGCATCATAAAACAAGTATCATTGTAAAATGTTATTTTAACCATGAACTTATTTGCATAATCCAAAGCTTCCCGGGAAGCACGCACTGTTCGTCCACCCTTAATCTAATTTCTTTAGACAACTTGACCACATTATTTTTTATATGTTTTTTATATATTTTTTAAGAATTTGCGTTTTAAGAACTTGCAGCAATATAAAGCTTAAAAAAAACTGCAAAGAATAAAACAGATAAAACTCAAAGAAAGGAAACAAATACAATGTAGAAAATCTAAATAAAATTAGCTAAAAAAAATTGAAAATTAAAAAAATTAAAATTTTGTGAAAAAAATAATATATCTAAATACTTTACTGTTTTTGTTTTCTTTTTTTTTTAGGCCCTTTGTTATTTTTCAAATACAACAATAAGAATACAACAAAAACTTTTTTTTTGTTACTTTTTTCAGTCAGTATATTAATGAAGTACTTTATAATTTGTGGTAGAAACATGTTAATTGTTAAGATAATTTTGTTAAAACATTTTAAGATAATTTTTAAGTTTTTTTTTTAATTTTTTTGCTAAACTTTACTGTTTTTATCAATGGACAGGAACGCAAGAAAACTAATTGGCAATTATTTGTAAAAAAAAATTTTATTGCATAAAAAGTTTTACATGTAAAAAAATAAAAAGTCATTAATACTAATACTTAATTATAAAATATTTTAGGAGCCTATTTAAAACTTTTTTTTTTAAATTTTTAAAAACATTTTTTCAAACAGAGCAATTGTTATGTTCATTATCTCTAGTAATTTGTATTAATTTTGGAAATTGGACAATATAAAAGAAACAATTTCAGACATGTATCAAATGCAGTAAATACATTTATAAATGAAACCATGTTATTTTTTTATTTAATTTATTCCGTCATTACAAAATCAAATAATGTATTTTACAAATAAATAGTAATATATTTTCTTATTTTTCTATTATACAGTACCCTACCATAAATAAGTATCCACCCTCAAAAAATTATATTTGTTGGTTTTACAAAGCTATAAACAGTAATTTATTCAACAATAAACATATAATTGCACTCACAAGTTCAGTATAACACACAATACAATGCAAATTACAGCAGAAATTAATATTTAGTATGCCATCCATGTGCATGGTTGACACTCTTCATATGTCGTGGCATTGACTCGATAAACTTGGTAATGGGATCCAGAGGAATAACTGACCAAGCAGCCTCCAGTTTCATCCAAAGTTCATCAAATGTCTTTGGTTTTCTCTCCTTGACTGCCTGGAACAAAGTTTCCCATAGGTTCTCGATGTCTGGACTCTGTGGGGGTCAGTCTAAAATGTCGATATGTTGGCAGGCAAGAAATGTTGGTCACCTTCTTTGCTTTGTGGCATGGAGCATTGTCATTTTGAAAGGTAAATACTCCATTTTGTCCAAAAAGCTTTCTGGCAGATGGAACCATGGACTGGCTGAGAATTTCAATGTATTGGTGTTGGTTTACTGACCCTACACATGGAGTTGCCCTACCCCCATACCAGACATGCAACCCCACACCATCAGGGTGTCACCACTTATGGAACAACACACTCCCGACGGTGTCGCTCACCTGGTCTTTGACGTACAAATATGTGCTTATTATTGCAAAACAATTCAAACGAACTTTCATCGCTGAACATTTTTTTTAACAGCTGGTAAAGAAAGACTTGGTCGACCTGTGTTATGTGTTCTGAAAGTTTATTACTTGGTGCTTCATCTCCTATGGAATTAGAAGGCTGGATAAAAGCTTTGAATAGAGTGATTTATTCAGTAGGCAGTTAAACTTTTTTTATTTTTTTTTATTTCCAACTTCAGGTTCTTGTAAGATGTCAAATTTATTTTATTGCCTTATTGCGTATATATACATAATAGGGCTGTTATCCATTTTTATTTATTTAAATTTTTTTTATATTTGATTAAAAACATAATTAATTTAAACTTAAACTTATTTTAAACTAAAATAACTTTAAACTTAATTAATTTTAAGCTTAATCGCCGACGAACTGTCTGATCCCCTGCCATTTTTAATCTCAAGTCTGTGGTCCCCATGCCTGACATCTAAAAACAAAATAAGCTGACATCTAAAAACAAAATAAGCTGACATCTAAAAACAAAATAAGCTGACATCTAAAAACAAAATAAGCTGACATCTAAAAACAAAATAAGCTGACATCTAAAAACAAAATAAGCTGACATCTAAAAGGCGATTAATATAATTAATAAATATTATTTTAAAGCAAAATCAACTAAAGTAATGCAAATGTGAAGCTGTGCAAAGCTTAATTTAGCAGTAATAGTAAAAAAATCATTTTATTTAATACAAGTACCAATTTAAAGTTGCATAATAGCTAAGCACTGTTAGACCATCATAAAGGGACTAAAAGCTAATAATTAGCTGTTGTAAACTCATATGTTTTTCTAGAATGTTTTACTGTAATTTCATTTCTATGCAATAGCTAATAATCATTATTACATAAACCTAAAGTTCTCTTTTATACAAACTAAAACCAATAATTCTTACCTTTAATCAAATGCATGGTGACTAATTATAAAGCTTAAAAACTTTTCTGACAACAGAGTTTACAAGTGTTACTAGGGAAACAATCAAAGAATATTGATTAGCCTAAAAGAAATTCACAAATAAATTAAGATATTACTGTGCAATTTTTTGCAATAACGTTTTACAACACAATTTTGTATTTTTTGTAAGGTGGATACTTACTTATGGAAGGGTACTGTATAAGTATTGAAAAAAAATGTCAAATATAGCAAAAACATTTTTAAAATCAAAAATAAAATAAATAAAAAACACACTAAATTAAAAAAATAAAAAAAATCTAAAATAAAAAATACAAAAGTAGTATAAAAGTTATATATAAAAAAAAATTATTTTAATTTTCTTTTTTTAATAATTAAACTTTCTAGTTTATTTAGTTAAACTAAATATTTTATTACAATTTTGTTTCCTTTTTTAAAGATTGTTTTTTTTCCCTCAGTAGATAGCTTTTTGATGCGAATTTTTGAATTGCTTTATAAGTTAAAGTTGCAAACTGCCGTAGTCAGTGTGTCTAAGAAAATTTTTCAAAAATTGGACAAACGAGGCGTGCGCATCTCGGGAAGGCTTGTAATTCGAATTAATTTAGTGTGAAAATGGAGCTACCATGTTCAATTTGTTGTTGGTCAAATTTTATACTTTAAAAAATATATTTCAAGAAAATAATGTAAAGAAAATGTAATGTAAGTCAACAAAAACTTGATAAAGTTTTGTTTTTTTCCAAAATTTACTTAAAAAACTTTTTATATTTAAAGCTTTAAATAATGATGATTAGTTAAAGGACTTTTTAATTTTAAATTTGTGTAACGTAAGTTAAAACTACATGTGTTTACTAAAATTCTGGCGCTTTTTTATAAAGTTTTTGTTGCATATAAAATGAACAGTTATGTTTTTATGTAATTCTTATTTAGTTAATGTTTTTGTTTTAGTAAATAAATCCTTTGTAAATGCAATTAAGGAGGTTGTCCATAAAGTATGTCACCCTATATTTGTCAATTTTTAACCCATTCCCTACTGTCTCAAATGATCATATATGCCTGCACTCCCTCTCTCTCCTAAACTGTGATAGCAGTTTTTACATTAAAAATATTTTAAAATATTTAAATGTAAATACTTTGCAGCATTTTAAAAATTCAACCTAATGAAAATAAGGAAATACGCATAAACATAAGAAGTGTAAGTAAAATTTACAACAATCTAAAAGATTTTTTTATTTAGATGACTTAATAAATATTAATAAAGTTGTCATACTAAAGTAATTTTTTAAATTTGCTCTTGATCATGTGGAAAAAACTCTTTTTGATTTGATAATTTTTATAAATGTTATGAAAAATCACTCAGGAAGAGATCTAAATCTTAATAATAAATATAAAAATCCTCTATAATAATTGCTCAGTAACCTAAGTGATATAACGTAACTTAAATTTATAGTATTAAAAAGATAAGTTTATTTTTCTTAGCTGGTCACTTTTGATGACTTTTTTATTATTTTTAAATTGGTGTAGAATTCTCAACATCTTGTGAAAATTTCCAACACAATCTGCTTTACTGATTCGCAGAAATCTGACTTAAAAATTGAAACAATTTTTTCTGCGTAGCATAAGCTATGTTAGTTTCAGTAATAAGTTCGCCCTCTTTGGGCCAGACTCAAAACTTTTTAGCTTATTTTATAACAGTTTTCGTAAAAAATAGCTAAAAATCTAATTTACAGATAAAAATGAAAAAAAATTTTTTTTTTTTTAATATGGGTTTAAAAAAACAATTTGACATTAATATTTATGTAAAATCTTTTTTGCAAAATAAATTTAAAAAAATAATCTGTAAGTTAAATGATAAAGATTTATTTTAATTAGTTTTTGTAATTTTCAGAGTGATGAAAAATACTTTATTTTATTTTTAAATATACGAATAAAAAAAAATAAAGATGATATGAACAGACTCACAAAAATAAAAATAGCTACCAAATTTTAAATATCTTGTACAAATGTCGTAAAGTTAAACATCACTTCGAAGACATGTAAATTTTAATTTAGTTACATGCAAAGTACATACACACTGAAATAGCTTTCTCTAGGGGCTTCAGTACATTGACAAAAGGTTTAGTTTTGTGCTGGAACAATCTCTTTTCTTTCAGTAAGCAATTTGGAAGTTAATAAAATTTATTAGGACAGTTAAATTGGAAAAAATCTTGATTGTATATACAAGTATTTGAATTTAGGATTACACATTTCTAATGAGCTTTTTTTAATTATGAAAGCTTTTAGTTATAATTCTTTTTTTTTGTACATTAAAATTCAGATTCAGCATGGCATCAATACGATGCCTGAGATGTTGCTCATATCAACAATATATCTCCTGCAACTTTTTGCTGAAAACAGATATGAGGTGATGTTTTTTAATAACTTAAAATATAAGTTTTTAAAACATTTGGATAATTAAAAAAAGAAATATTTTAAAGAAATTCGATTTTTTAAATTAACAAATAGATAGAAGATTGTGTTCCACTTTTGGATGATGATGATCACATGATTGATCTAATTATTGAGTATGTGGATAGTTATCCTGACAAACAAAAGTTATTTTTTGTTTCAGAAAAATTAAAAGAAAAAATTTTAGGTAACTAATTTTTTATTTTTATATTTTTGTTTTATTCATTTTAAGTATTTAAACTTATTTTGTTTAATATTTTTAAATGTTTTAGTTTTTGTTTAATGGATTTATCATTTTAGAATCAAACAGGAAGAGTGTTTGGGAGGAAGAAATGTTCAAAAACATTCATGAAGATTTAATCTTTGATATGTTTTTAATATACAAATCTGAGTTAATATTACCATTAACTGACTATTTGGAAACACTTATCAAAAAAACATGTAAGTTATAAAAGATTTCTAAGTTTATTTTGTTGTCTAGTTCTTTTAGTTTTAATACTTGAAAATCAGATTGATTAAAAGCAAGATATAAAGTTCTAATTTAATTTGAAAAAGAATAGTTTTATTTTTCTCAATTTTCTTAAAATCCTTAATCATGTAACCATGGTTATAGAAAAATAATGAGTTGATAAATAGTTATATAAAAAAAAAAAAATTTCAATCCTTTAGGTAAAATATACATAAAGTTTAGGGGCTGTTCAAATAATACATGACAATCTTAGGGGGGGGAGGGAGTATTAGAAAGTGTCACTAAATGTCACATGGGGGAGGGGGGTGGTTTGCCTCAGTGTGACGTGACAAAAAACATTTTAAATTAAATTGTTTATCATGCGTAATTAAATTAGTTTATAATGCAAACTCGGAGGTGTTTATATATAATACTGATTTCGAGAAAAATTATATGCAACGACTTCACGAATAGCGAGCGTTTTTTGTTAAACTTTCATTTAACACAAATTTTTGTTTTTGTTAAATGATTGGATTTGATTAATTTATATTTCCTCGGTACAAAATTATTTTTGTAGAAATTGTACGCATAAAAAGAAACTCTAATCCTACGAACATAGAACTAGATAGTGGGCAAGTATCTAAAAATGATTTATATTACTATCAAAAATCATACTTTATTTTTTTAACACTATTTATATTAATAAACTAAAAAGTTAAGTGTTATTTTCGCTTAAAATTAGGTCTTCAAATATAATGCATAAACGATATTATTCTATTTTTAATGTTATTATTAGTATTACTTTTAATATTTTGTGTCACTCTATTGCAAATTATTGGTCTAATTACTTTATTATTTTATTATTACGTTATTATTTTATATTTATATTTTTATTATTCAATAAGTTAGTTAGATTGTTAACGAATTTTAGTATTAATAATGCTATTGTTAACATTAATTCATAATGTGCTTGTTTTTAATTAATGGTTGTTAGGAAAATAAATTTATTGTTGTTGTTGTTATAGAATAAAAATGTCTAGTGAAAAGGAACAACTTTACAAATCTATTTATGAAGGATGTTTAAAAGCATTTACAAACAAACCAAAGCCAAAGTCTCAAGAAGAAACAAATAAAATCTGATCTGAGATCAAAGCAAAAAGCAAAACATTACTCGATATAAATGTAGAAGTTGAAAAAAAATTGAAAGAACTAAAGCAAATTGAATTTCGAAATAAAGTTGGTATTTTATCTTACTGGACAAAATTACAAAACTATACACCAAAAAAGCTTGTGATTGAATCTAAAATCACTTTTGATGACTTGACTGATGCAACCCCATCAATTACAAATAGTGAAGACAGTGAAAAAGGCTTACAAGAAAACTCCAATTCGTTAAAAGTTTTAAAAAGACCTGCACCAAAACAAGATCAGTTAAAGAATGAAATTTTTATTTTGCAAAAAGATATCGCATATTTTACTGAAAAAAGAAACTGCAACTTGTTGTCACAAGAGGACCATCATATATTAAGACAAAAACAAAAGCTTTTGATAGAAAAAAACCGAGATCTTGTACTTCGTCAAAAAGCCAATGAACGTCAAACAGCAACCAGGCTGAAAAGAAAAAAAGCAATAGAAGCTTTAGATCCGGATATTAGAAAAAAGTTGTGTGGTATTAAAAATGCAGTATCAAAAGGTCGACCGCTAGCCTGTGATCAGGACAGTTTAATTAAAATGATTGTAGATATTGCCTTGAAAGGTTCTGCTTCTGATGATAGGAGAAGAAATGAAATTGTTCGAACTGTAAAAACATTAGATGACTTGGTTGAAGAATTAAAAAACCATGGTTACAATCTTTCCAGATCAGGTGTTTACTTAAGATTACTTCCTCAGGTGTATAAAGCTAGAGTGCCAATTGGATTGACAGCTGCAAACAAACAAGCACCAATCATGATGCATATGGAGTACAAGGTGACTTTAGCTGATCATGATTTTGTAATTGCTCCTCAACACAAACTTATTCCTTCAGTAATTGCAGCCATAGAAATCAAAAAAGATTGCATGGAAAAACAAGCAGTCACATACTCTGGCCCAACATACATAGCAATCAGAAGCGCAAAACATGATTCATCAACAGCACTTAGTCACTTAGAAGACATTAATAGAATCAACCATCTTCCTGCATTTAAAAGCAGCTTATTTACTGAAGATGAAGTTAGCAAACCAGTCATGATTAAAACTGTTGATGGTGGGCCAGACGAAAATCAAAGATATGAAAAAACAATTCATTGTGCCAAGACTTATTTCAAAGAGCATGACCTTGATGCAATGTTTGTGGCAACCAATGCTCCTGGCAGAAGTGCCTTTAACAGGGTAGAGAGAAGAATGGCTCCGCTAAGCCATGACCTTGCAGGAATTATACTTCCATTTAATCATTTTGGAAGCCATCTTAATTCAAGAGGAGAAACTACAGGCAAACTTATGGAGAAGGCAAATTTTGCCAAAGCTGGCGAAGTTCTTGCACAAATTTGGTCCAGCACAGTCATTGATGGATTTGAAACTATTGTAGAGTACAGAGAACCAAACAGTGAAAATCGTGTACAATTAAAGCAGTTTAGAGCAGAATGGGATGCTAAACATGTCAAAGAAAGTCAATACTTGCTTCAAATTGTAAAATGTAATGATCAAAACTGCTGTGGTCATCGTCGCAGCTCACTGTTCCATCTTATTCCAACTGGTTTTCTTCCTCCACCAATTTCTTTGTTCCAAGGAGAAAATGGCCTTGAGTGCAATAATACAAAGAATAACTTTGCAAGCCTCTTTTTAAACTTATCACTAAGCAAAACAATTTTTCCCACGACAATTACAAAAAAGTTTCCTAAAGGATTGCCATACGACTATTCATGTCCGAGCATTCAAAGTTCCTTACCAAAAAGAATTTGTACCAATTGTAGTCTATATTTTGCTACTATCAAATCCATGAAACAGCACAAATCAGTTTGCTCAAGTATCGGATTATCGAATGAGATTCAAAAAGTTAAACCTCATCGCCTAGTTGCTCAACGTCTATCTGAACTCATGTGTGTCTTTTTAAATTCAGACAAAGAAACAAATGAATGGCATGATCAGGACGATGTTGATACCTTTGATCTTAACTGGCCTTCAATAATTATTGAAGAGCATGGAACTCCAATACTTGAAGGTCAAAGTCCAATTTGGGAACAAATTTAGGACATGTTTCTTAAACAGAAACATGTCAATTGTGTTTTTTAATAATCTGAACTGTTACAATTAAATAGACACTTGTGAAAATTCGAAATATTTATCTTTGTCACGTCACACAGGGGTGGGGGTGGGGGAGTTTTTAAAAATGCCACAAAGTGTCACATAGGGGAGGGGGGGTCTCTAAAAATGCCTAAAAAAATGTCACGTATTATTTGAACAGCCCCTTATTAATAAAATTTAATTATTAATAATTTTTATTTATATATTTTTGCGTTTATTTATTATGTTAATAGTTTTTCTCAATCAATGTTTTTTTTTGATTTGGTTTAGCACAAACATCTACCTTATTGCATTTACGTACCCTTTTATCACAGCTTAGTTACAAGAAATTCATTTTGCTAAAGCGATTTATTCAGTATTTCTATTATTATTGTAAAACAAATGATATGGAAATTACAGAATTACCTTTTATGGTAAAAGAGGATTCTGTCACAACTCAAGCAATCACTTTGTTATTTGATCATTTTAACTTTTTATTTCAGGTTTTTTTTAGTTTTTCATTATTTTAAACATAATTTTTTTTTAATAGATTAGTAAATACCTGTAAAATGTTTTAATGATAGAAAATTTTTTAGAGAAGAGAAAATTTTATATAAAATGGAAATTTAAATAAGTTTTAAATAAATTTTTTTTTCTTTAAGATGAAATATTGTTTTTGTTAAATATTTAATTTCTTTAAGGTTGGTAAACCACTAAACAATTTTCCTGTTGAATCTTATGACATAAAATTACCTCATACATTTCTTAGTGACAACGCTCATGTTGTTTTCAATAACTTAATCAATGATTCAAATATTGAAGATATTGATTATATAAGAAGAAATTATGATTCCTGGATATTAAAACAAAGATCTGTGGATCAGTTTGAACCAACAACAAAGGGCTAGATTTTTAATTTAATTAGATTTTTAATATTTTATTAGATTTTTAATATTTAATTAGATTTTTTAATATTTTATTTGATTTTTAATATTTAATTTGATTTTTAATATTTAATTTGACTTTTAATTTGATGATAATCATTTTATTTTTTAAAATCATTTTAAATGTTTTTATAACAATGATATTTCTTTAGGTTTTGATGACCAGCCAATGGACATAGAACCAATGGATGTTTCAAATGATTCTGAAAAAATCTGTGCTACAAACAACTTATCATTATTAACAATACTTGTTAAGTTGCATGGAGTTTTATCAGAACAATCAAAATTGATTAATACTTGTGATATTGCAGGAGATGGTATTTTCTATGTCGGTAAACTACTAAAAACATTTTACAACCAATCAAAATTTAATGAGTTTTTAAAAGTAGTTTATCCAAAAGTATTCACATTCAATGATGATACCATAGATACAAAAAATCAAGTTGAAAATGCTAAGCTTGAAAGGTTCCTTTACATTTGTTTATTTTGATTGGATATTTTTCCTAGTACTCACTAGATTAGTTAATTTTTTAGTTTTTTTTATAGATTGGTTACTTATTTAGTTGTTTATTGATTTATTCAGGCGTAAAAAGGTCAATCAAAGACAAGAAGAGATGCTTAAGGAGTTTGCTTTCAAACAAAAAAGATTTTTGGACAATACTATTGGTAATATCATTGCAAAAATGTTTAATTATGATCTTCATCATTTATGCTTTATTCTCCATATTTTATGCTTTATTCTCCATATTTTATGCTTTATTCTCCATATTTATGCTACAATTTTTCATATATTACAATAATGTTGAATTATTGAATTATTTCATTATATTGAAGAAATGATATAGTTAATTTTTTGATAAAAAATATTTATTTTGTGTATGTTGAACTAATAATTAATAACATATACATTGCCATGGTTTCTTTGGGATCAAAAACATTTAAAGCCTTGATCTACTTTAATGTTCATTACACTGAAACTTTTTTGTACCAATGACTTTCTTGACATCAAGGATTTAAAACATTTGCTATTTGCTGTTCCGTACCCAGATAGGTAACTATAAAGATCATCCAAACTCTCCTAATTACTTATTTCTCTAATTGGTCTGTGTATTACTTTAGTTTTGGTCTGTGTATTGTCTCTTGTGTTAGGTTATTTTAGTACAGCTAAAACTACTTTTAATTTAGACTTTATTGAAGTTTGTGGTTCTTGTAACAGTCTTTTGAAATAGTTTTATTTTTTTCTCTATTCTTAAAACTGTTCAACAAGTGCTTATCTAAATTTGTTTATCATTTAATAGGTTGTAGTGGTAGAATATTTGTTTTATAAGTAAGAAGTTGCAAGTTTGTGGACCACCCTCGTCTTGTTATCTTGACCTTGGGGTGGTACAATATAAAATTTTTTCTTTAAATAGCAAACTGATTAAGCTATTTAATTTATATCTTGAGTTATCTTTCATTCCTGCTCTTTTTTAAAAGCTTACTTCATTGCAAAATCACCATATGCTAAAGTTGCTTTTCTTTGTTATTCTTTTTATTGGTTTCTTTGGGGTGGTCTTCTAATGATATACCTCACTCATATCTTATTAAGAAAATATGTGATAATATACTGTAAGCATAAGTAGACATCTTCTATTGTAAATACAATCTGATATAAATGAAAGTCTGATTAAAGTTGCTTTGTGTGCTCTTTTTTAAAAATAACGCCATGCTTGTTAGTCAAACAACTATTGTCTCTTGTTTCTTTTTAAAAATAATGCCATGGTTGTTACTCAAACAACTATTGTCACTTGTTTCTTTTTTAAAATAACGCCATGGTTGTTACTCAAACAACTATTGTCTCTTGTTTCTTTTTAAAAATAACACCATGGTTGTTACTCAAACAGCTATTTATAATAATTAAAGCTTATAAGAATAATTTTTTTTAAAACAAACTTTTTTTCTTTTAACAAAATTCTTGTTTAACATTTTACTCTTTAAACATTCACAGTGATTCTTTAAAGTCCACAGTGATTCTTTATTAAAAATTTTTTTCTTGCATTTTTCTCCCAATATTATTTTTCTAATTTATTTGCAACACTTTTCTTGTTGCTAAGAAATTCCTTGATCTTTGAAATTACCTTCTCGAACGAGCTAAACTTGTGGAGATTCTTTTATTTGACTCTAAAACTCTGAAGAACTTTTACAAAAAAAAGGAATGCTGCGCTGTTAAACCATTTGAATCTGGTACTAGTAATTTATTTATTATACAATGATAAATGAAATACTAAATGCAATAATATATTATGATTTGATGTTTAATTGATTACATTATATATAGAATTTTATATGTTAAAATTTGAATTGCTTTAGGAAGTTCATCAAATGATTCAGGTTTACAACATTTTAATAACCATAACATATATGAGTGTGTTATATGCTTCCAATCCACTGAATCTACAGAAAAACGACCAATTGGTTTAGTGGTATTTTTGCAACCTTCAACAGGTGATTTTTTATAAGTTGTTTATGAAAACAAGATTAGGATGAGCTTAAAATTTGCTTTGCTTTTTAGCTTTTTTCTCCTTCAAGTAATTTATGTGTATTAAATTTTTAATTTATGTTTATTTTAAATATTTTTTTTATAATTTAAGTATTTCTTCTATCTTTTTAATGTTATATTACTTTATTTTTTTATATTTTATAATTTTTCATTTTTAAATAAGTATTTAATATTTTGATTTGATACTTTTAGTATCGTTGCATAAATTTTTGAGTTGGTAGTTTTACACCAAATCATTTTGTTTTAATATCTTCAATTTCTTTTTTTTATCTTCAATTTCTATTTCATGTCCGATTTCTATTTTATTATTTCTATCTATATATATTATTATATATAGATAGTGGTTGCTTGCTGCCTTGTTGAGAGTGAATCAAAATAATAACAATAAAAAATAAGTTTTACAATTTTAATATTTTTGAGATATATAAATGAGGTTGGATATTATCCATTGTTTGATTTAATGCACAATTTTCATAATCCAATATTTATATATGTATATTTATATATGTCCAACATTTTCTAATATTTTTAACTTGTCCAACATTATCTGACTTTTATCTTTTATCCAACTTTATCTAATGTTTTTAGTGCTTGCATACCGTGTTTCACAAACTTCTGAATACAACGAAATGTGCAAATTTAGAGAAACATGCGGTAATCTCGTCCAACAAAGAGAAACTGAACTTTCGAAAATTTCTGTAAATGTTTAATTCAAAATTTATTTAATTTTGTCTATTTCAAGTTTTACATTTTGGCATTTAAAATTTTTATAACATTTTTAAATGGAAAATTTATTTAATTAAATTACTAGGGGTCATTCCAATTAGCACTTGAGATTGGTTCTGATGTTGGTATTAATGTACAAACATGTGGTCATTTTGTTCATATTGACTGTCATCAAGCTTACTTTCAAACTTTACAGGTAGATCTTTTTAAAATGAGTATTCCACCTTCAAATATAATATTTTAATATATATATATATATTAAAAAATGGCAAGTACGTAAGTTTGATTCAATGTTAAATTTAAAGAATTAAAATTATTTTATTTTTTATTTTTTATATATTTTTCTTGTTTTTCTGTTTTATTTATTGGATTTCATTTATTTGCTTTTATGTGTATTTAATAAATTCCATTTCGTTATAATTTACTGATATATATATATATATATATATATATATATATATATATATATATATATATATATATATATATATATATATATATATATATATATATTGCTACAATAATTTGCATAAAATAAGTTAAAAAAGTTATTAATTTACAGGGATTATCTTTTTCTGGATATTTCTGGAATTTTGAATGTTTTTTTCAACTTCAAGTTTTCCGGATATCCAAAACCATAGATACAAGTTTAGGTGTTTAATTTTGTAATATATTTGTTTTTTAAGCTTTTTTACTAATCACTCATACAAAATTTTAAAAGTTTGAAAAAAAAATTTGAAACAGCTCAGCTAAAATCAAAATTATGAGGAATATCAAAAAATATTTCTAATTATTTTCAGATTTTTATCCAAACAATTTTCTGAATTTTTAAAATATGACTTGTGACTTGGATGATCTATAAATTTGAGAAATAGTTTATTCATAATTTTTATTAAAGTTATGGTTTGTATTACATTTTTGTATAAAAAAATTACAAGATTATATAAAAAATATTAACTAACATAGGCAATATATTACCAAATAAATGGCAAATATATTTTTCAATATAAAGTTTCTCTGTTTATTCGCAACTTCTACTTCTTACTTTAGTCTACTTTCCTACTTCTCACTTGATACTTTCTTACTTCTCACTTGATACTTTCTTACTTCTCACTTAATACTTTAGTTTGATACTTTCTTACTTCTCACTTGATACTTTAGTTTAATACTTCGTCTTACTTCTCACTCACTTCTTACGTCTCAAATAAGTTTTGGTTTGTATATTGTCTCTTGTGTTAGGTCATTTATTATAGGACTTGAAATATCTTTCATTTAAATCAACTGATCAACAGGTTGTTTCTCTTGTCAGACATTTTAATTACTTTTGATCATTTTAAATAATACATTTGTACAGCTAAAATTACTTTTTATTCTGACAAGAAAACTCTATTACAAGAATAATAAAAATTTGATCTAAATGAATTTTTGTTGAAAATCTTTAAATGTTTTAAGGTAACACTTGAAATTCATAAGATGTTTTGAATGTTTAAAAAAGTCTTTTAATAATAATAAAAATAAAATTTATTTTAAAAACCCAATAATCTTAATGATTAAAAAATAAGCTTATGTTTTAAATATTTTTAATATATTTTTTTAAGGATGATAATCAACTTATAAATATTACAAAAGGAGAATTTTTGTGTCCATTGTGTAGAGGCTTTAGCAACGAAGTTTTACCAATTTTACCAGATTGCATTAAAGAAGTTCACAATACTTGTATAAAGGTGATTGTTTTCAATCATTTTAAAGTATGAATTATATCAATATTTCTTGTTGTAGAAAAGAACATTTAAAACAATATGTAAATTAAGAAGATATTTAATTTTTAAAGTTTAATAAAAATAAATATATAAAAAGATTTACTGATTTTTTGTTTGATATTTAAAAAAAATATTTTTTAGTCAGAAGGGGCTGTCAAATCTTTTAAGGAACAAGTTGAAGAAATCAAAAATCTTATGGAAATGGTGAATTTTTTCTTATTTTATAAATGGTGAAATTTTATGTTAGTTATTTATGTAAACTTACATTTTATATTGAGTGTGACTTTTTTATCTTTATTAAGCCAAAGTTCTCTTCATTAAGAAAAAGATCTTTTGATATATCTGTCCTCACAGCCTCTACTTCTTTATTTTACAATTCACTTGAAGAGTTAACAAAGTTACACATGGTGGAAAAGCAATTTCATGTCAATAAGTTTACAGTATTAATTGCATTGTTAAGGTGAGTGTTTTTAAATTTTCTTCAATTTTTTTTAGTTGTTTATAAATTTTAAATATTATATTTCTGCAAATTAGACATAACTTGGAAGAAACTATGATGAACACAACTTCATTTAAAGATCTATCAGAGCAGAGAAAAAAATCTTTATGTAAGCAATCACAAAATCTTTTTTTTTTTTTTTGTTTAATAATTTGTTGACCTTATATTAAATAATATAATATTAACTTAAATAATATTTTAATTCTTTTTGCAGTGGCTCTTTTTGAGTTTAGTAATTTTAATGCACAGTCGCTCTCAACACCTACATCTTCATATTGGATAAGACTTACTTGTGGTGTTATGAAAAAAAACGAGGTTGGGTATGTAAGAGTGCTTTGTGTTATAAATGAAACAATTTATTTAAGCTTTTTGCAATTAAATTATGTTTACATTCTTCAAAATCATAATTATTAGTTACCTGGATATTCCTTTTTTATTGATGGATCCTGTGTCATTGCTTATTCAGTTTGTTACAGCATGGCCCTACAGAATAAATACTGGTTAGTTTATACATTTATATTTTTTTTTTTACCTCTAACAAGGGTACATTAACTAAATTTATTGTGATTTAATGTGAAAATAAAGACTCACAAATTTTAGCGTGATTGTGATTTTAGCGTGATTGTGATTTTAGCTCTTGATTGTGATTTTTAAATGACATTTGACAATTTGATGATTATGTTATCTTGATTAAAAAAACTGCTATCCTACACTGACAAACAAGACTGCTATGCTAAGCATTATAATATTAAAGACATGGTGTAGAAGTAGAAGTTGGATTTTCCACTTACAAAACTAGCAATCAAGTACTACTTCATTACTTTATTTTTAGATTTTGATCTAGACCAATCCTAGTCATGCTTAATACTGTATCGAACTATGGATCCAAAACAGATGCAACATTAAGTTTTTATAGGCCTAAAAAATTTGTGTGTATTCTGTGTTGTTTTGATTTTGATTTGTATAGAAACAATAAATCTTTTTTTGTGTGTGTTTTAAGTTGTTTTAAAACATAGCAACTAATAACCTATATTATAATGTCTAATAATCTGGATCAAATGTAGTTATAATTTCTAATTGTATAATACAATACTTTTAGAAGAGCTGTACTGTGTTATAATTTCTAATTGTATAATACAATACTTTTAAAAGAGCTGTACTTTGTTATTTTTTCTAATTATATAATACAATAATTTTAAAAGAGGTGTACTGTGTTATAGTTTCTAATTGTATAATACAATACTTTTAGAAGAGCTGTACTGTGTTTTAATTTCTAATTGTATAATATAATACTTTTAGAAGAGCTGTACTGTGTTATAATTTCTAATTGTATAATGCAATACTTTTAGAAGAGCTGTACTGTGTTATATTTTCTAATTGTATAATATAATATTTTTAAAAGAGCTGTTTTCTAATTGTATAATACAATACTTTTAGAAGAGCTGTACTGTGTTATTCAATCATTGTACAATCTAGCATATGTTCAAGTAAGTTCAGTTATTATATTTTACAATATTTATCTACTCACGCAGAAAAAAAGTATTTTAAGAAAACATTAATCTTTCATTATTTATAAAAAAATTAAAAAATTTATAAAGACCATAATAGATCTTTTTAGATTTTTTTTGTCCTTATCTTTTTATTTTAATCTAATTGAGTAACATGACACAGTTGTTAAGCCCTAGCTTTAGTATAAAGAGGTTTGGTGCTCTGGCCATACAATCATTTAAGTGATATTGTTAAGGAAGATGGTGAGAACTTTTTTATAAAGTGTCCTTTTGCAGTGCTTTGTGGCAAAACTGTTAAATTTTTTGGAATAACCTTTTTTATCCAACCTATTTCTTCTTCATTTTTCAATGCATTGTTTTTTTCAGTATTTTTTTTTTATATAACAATAAATTAAAAGATTAATAAGTTTAAGTTTTCCTTAAAACAAGTTTGTCATTTGTAATGAAAAATTATTGGTTTTAAATATATTTATTTATATTTAAGTATATTGTTATTTATTCTTAAATCTCTTTTTTAACACAATGAATGTTTTCTTTTTTTTTAAAAAAGAATTAAGTTTAAATGCAGGAACACATTAAGTTTTTTAACAAATTTTAACACATAAATTTTTATTTATGATAAATATTTATAATCTCTAAAATTTTTATTTTTTGTAAACATTTTTTTTTATAATATAATTTTGCTCAACACATTTAGGCTTTGATTTCCTTACTTTTTCTATAGCCTAATATATACTAACTTTAAATTATAAATAACTTATAAAATACAAGACTTTTAAAAGAGCTGTACTGTGTTATAATTTCTAATTGTATAATACAATACTTTTAGAAATCATAACTTTAGGTTATAGATAAATTTATTATCTTAACTTTAAGTTATAGATAACTTTATTGTTTTAATTTATTAAAATTATTCTTAAAATTTCCATGAGAAAACATGATTTTTTAGGCTTTACTATCAATCGGTTTGAAAGTCAAGGAGAGTGAAAAAGAAAGTTGGTACCGAAATGTAAAAAAAGTAAGTTTTTTATACGTTTTGAAAACACTCACTACATAATAATATTAACTTTATAGTTTATAGAAGGGTGTAACTAGTATATATATATATATATATATATATATATATATATATATATATATATATATATATATATATATATATATATATATATATATATATATATATATATATATATATATATATATAAATATATATATATATATATATATATATATTTTAATTCTGATTCACTTCCAACAAGGCTGCAAGCAACCACTATTAAGTTGTAAGTTACTAGAAAAAAGAATAGAATTATAGAGCAAGGAAATGGTTGACAGAAGGCTTTAAAAGCAGAAGGGTGTATGAGTCTGGAAAACATTAAGACAGATAGAGTCCAAAAGGTTAAGGTGCGGGGAAAAAAAAAAACAAATAAAAGTTTTTAGAACAAGCAGTGATAGATACAGTAAAAGAATGAGACTTTGCTGAATGATGAATCAAGTGATAATGAGTTTTAGTTGATAGAACTAGAGATGATAGCTTCTTTGAGCAGCAACCATGATATTATTTGTAGATAGATACACCATATGAAAAAAGCTTAAGAAGAAGAATAACATGCCAAACTTTGTCAAAAGCCTTAGATATGTCAAGAACAATAGCCATAGCGTCTCCGCCTCCATCTAGTGCACAATAAAATCTTTCAGTCACAGCACTAAGCAAGTCAGAGGTAGAGTGAGCGGATCGAAAATCGTATTGATTGTCTGACAGTAAGTTATTTGACTAAAGATGAGATATAAGAAATTTGTTTATCAAAGACTCAAAGACCTTGCTAATAACAGAAAGAAGACTGACTGGACACTAATTGGAGGGGCCAGAATGTTTATCAGATATTCTGAAAATTGGATCAACAGATGCCATTTTCCAGCAGACAGGAAAACAAGACTCAGCCAAGCACTTATTAAATAGTTTAAAGAGAATTGAAGAGAGTTTCGGAAAACAATTTTGTAAGACTATGACAAGAATGTTGTCTGGACCACAAGCCGTAGAAAAGTTCAATTGGGATATCACTTTAGCAATGGAAGCTGGAGTGATTTGAGTGTTTAACAATGGGTTAACCTGTTTACTTGGAATGGAAAGAAGAGAATGGCCATAAGATTTAAGAGTTGAATTAGAAGAAAAGTTCTTTGCAAATAGTTCTGCCTTATCCTTGGGAGAGGTAATAAGATCAGTCCCATGAATGAGAGATGGAATGTTAGACCTTCCTTTGTTAACGACACTGTTGAAGATTTTCTCTAGAGCCTAACTTCTGAACTAAGATGCGAGATTTAGTGAACTGAGAATAGTGGAGCTTAACATCTGGCAGCACTTTTTTACATCAACTTCTTGCAATAAAAAATAGGCGTTTGATCTCAAGAAAATTATTGTTTTGAAAACAATGAAAAAAATGATTCAGATTAGATATAGCAGCTGCACAAGAGGTTAAAAAGTAGTAGAATGAGGCTTGACTTCAAACCGAAAAAAAGGAATAAAAGCTTCTTTTCCTGCCTGTAGGAGGCGCATTTTTCAGCTGAGAAAGAAAAGACATTAACCCAAGGACCATCACAAAGAAAATCACGAAAAGAATCCCAGTCCACTTTATGGTAGTAAAGAAAAGCAAGTAACAAACTATCCCAGACATAAATCAAGGAGTGAAGATAAATAGTTAGGATTACGAGTAACAAAGTTAACTATCTGAGTAAGAGATTTAAAATTGCAGAAGTTATAAGCTTTAGTATGAGCAGGGAAAGTGGCATTACAGCCAAGCCATTCAGTGTGATAAGCATTAAAGTCATCAATAACAAAAATATTGGCAGAGGGATAAAAGAAAGAGGTGAGTAGTATGAGTAAAAGAGAGAGTTCAATTTGACCAGAAATTACATCTAAAAAGGTACAGTCTTGGAAAGAAGCAGAATGATAATGAACAAAGAGAAAGGTGATATAGTGAAGAGGTGCTAAGCGGAAGCACATAAAAGAATGGTCAAAGGATTCGAACCTGATTTCATGACAAATAGGTGAATTAATATGTATGTGTACTCCCAAGCCAAGCATGTGACTATTAGAGTCTTTTCAAATCAAAGGATAGTACCCATCAACACTGAAATCAAAAGAATGAATAGCAAAATTTAAATTTAAGTGTGCACACAAAATAAGTGTGAAAATAAAAAACAACTATAAAAAGGTATTCATCAATTTTATTTAAACTAAGTATTAATTTTAATACATTAATATAAGAAGATAAAATATTTCAAAGAAATTAATTTATTCCTCCGGGCATCTAATAAAATTTTGAATTTTTGCTTAGGTGGTATCCATAAATTTAGGCACAGAATAACAAAACTGTTTAACGCTTTTTAAATGACATTTTAAAATCTTCAACATTTCTGCATAGTTTTAATTTTTTTTTTCATTTTTTGCCTAATGATTTGTACTTTGAAATAATTTTGAATTAAAAGAAATTTGGATAATTTGCTATTTTATACACAACTTTCTTGGTATTTTTATATCATCCCAAGCCAGTTTGCTATAATGACTTGATGATAAATTAGACCAGATGTCTACTATAATGTGATTTAGTAAAAGACTTTTAAACACTCTTTAACATATATTTTACCAAAAAGTGAGGACTCAGAAATATAGGCGCTGATTTTTTGTCATACCTGCAAATAGCCTGCCAAATCAAAACTTTTTTAAAATGCCTAATATGTTTTGCGTATTTAATTTTCTTATCTGCTTTTCCTCTTTATCTGGCTTTATAATACACAGCATCAGATTTAAGCATCAGGATTTTGTTATAATAATACTTCATAAAGATTTCATCGTCTTTAATAATTCAGAAATTTTTAGAAATATAATTGTCATAAAACTTTTTTCCAGCAGGTTTTTGCACTTTTTTTTAAAGCTTGAAAAACATGTTTATTTTAAATTTTTAGAACAAAAACTTTTTGCTCGTTACCATAGTGAGAGGCTTAGATTAGTTAATAAAACTGTTAACCAGTTTTATATCTTAAATAACATTTTTTCCTCCATTACCAGATTTGCTTTGGATTGAATTTGTTTGGGAAAACGTTAAATAATGTGAGTAACGGTGTACTTACAACTTTTGCATGTTGTAATTTAATAAAGAGAACTTGATTCATTCATAGAGAGAGCACAACCTCCTAAATAATGAGCTATCAATTTTCTTAGTCATATTAATTAACCCTACGTTGTAACATAGGGCTCCTTATGTGGCTTCGACAATGCGCACCAAAAGCATTAACAGGGATACCATCCATGCGCATCATGGCACTGTTAATATTCTGATATTTTGAAGCTGTTGATGGAATCAGCCTCTCTTATAGCTACCAAAGAGTTCGAGAAATCTTACTACCAGCTGGCCTTAGAACCATTGTACTGAGTTTTAAAGCTGTACTCTCAACAGTAAGAGATGAATTGCCACTATCAAAAAGGCACAAGTTAAAACCTATGAGAAGAGTCAAGAAGATCCAGCATTTATCATCCTAGGCAGGAAACATTCTAAAACAGGTTTAAATCAATGCAGTCTAATAGATTAAGAAGAGGTTCAAGGCTGGTTAACAGAATTATTCTGCTTACCCCTAAATTTTCTTTTTTTTGGTGTATTTTGACCTCATTAAAAGTAAATTTGCTATTGGAAATAAAATACAAAAAATCATATTTTATTAAAGAATTACATAAAAACAACTTTTGAAATTTTGAAATACATAAGTAAAGACAACCATTTAGAATAAGTAAAAATACTCATTTTTCTCAATATTTATCTCATTGACAAATTTACAATTCAACTGCAATCCCTTTTAAGTTCTATAATATATATAATCAAGTAATTTGTGTCTTATTTGAAAAAAACTTATTAATTTTGCTCATAAGTTAATATTATCTTACAAGGTTTTTTTTAGTTTTTATGAAAATAAGTATATTTAAAGTTTGCTTTGCGTTAAAAAAATAATTTTATTTTTAACTATTTTTTTTTTTAGAGTGAGAAAATCACTTTGAGTACTTTAGTGAATTTAGTTTGGAGATGTTCCAGTATGTTATATGTTAATGAAACAAGCAATAATTCAGAAGATTTAAATAGTTCAGAGGTTTGTAAAATATTTTTCCCACCTTAATTTTGCTATTTATATAGTTTTGGATATTATTAAATTAATATGCTTGATATAATTTTTTAATTGAAATTTGTGTGCAATGCCGAGTTAACTGCTGACCTACAAGTTTTTAAGGTCAGCAAAAAAATTGCTGACCTTGTTTCTATATTTTATTGGTAATTTTGTATAAAATTTTTGCCTTTGTATCAAATTTTCTTTGATGCCGACTTCCAACAATAATTTGCTGACCTCAAAAGATTGAGGTCAGCAAATTATTGTCGACCTGATTTTTCCTATTTCCTTGGGTTATATATATATATATATATATATATATATATATATATACATATATATTTACATATATATATTAGGGTGATGCAAAATTTGTAGGTTCAAAACTTCAATTGTCCTCAAGCTTGCCCTTGTTCTATATGACAATAGTAGTTATTGGCCAAAATTTGAATCAAATCGGATGATATTTAGGGGTTGCCATGTTTTGTCACATTTTGGTATAAGGTTACAAAAAGTAAAAAAAATATTTTTTATTTTTACATTTTTTATATTATATTACTGAATTATTTATTATCAATTTCTTATTATTATGTGGTGGATTGTAGATGTTCAATGTTAAAAAAATCAATACTATAGTACTACTATGTAATTGCACTAGGCAATAATAAATCAATCATCTTCATCATTCAACAGTCATCTTCATCAGGGTAGACTTTGATGCAACTGGAAATTCCTTCCGGTGAAGATCAACCAATCTAAGAAGAAACTGCTTTTGGTTTTCATCTTTCGTAACGCTTGAGTTAAAGGATGTTATAAGTGCTATGCCTCGTTCGGCGAAATCGTTGACGACTTTCATTTGACCAACCTTGTGCTTCATTTCAAGATATGTTGAATCCATTTCTCACTCTGAAGATTCTTTCATTAAAAATGATTCAGCTTTTTCTTTTCCATTTTTCAAAATTAGATCGAAAAGTTCTGCGGTGCGTTGTGTGACGAAGGAAGGCAATGGGCTGTGACAATCGAATGTGGCAGCATCAAGTCTTTTGAGAGATTTCTGCCTTGGCTGTTGTTTCAGGTTGTTTGCCATGTCTCTCTTGGTGTTGTTGTTGACACGGGAATCGAAGAAAGCCAATCCTATTAGATGTTCAGAAAAATACCAGAGGTGGCGATGAAAAGCTTTTGCTGCATTAATTGCAATAGTACGATTTGGATATTCTTGAATCCGTTGAAGAAGCTTGGCATCATTGAATGGTGCTCGTTCAGCTAACGGAGCTTCATTCCGAAACTGTCCGTATACAAATGCCACAAAAAGACTTATATCTGTTATTCCTTTCTTTTCCTTTGCAGTAATAACAAATTGATCCTGAAACAAATATATCTTTATACAATATATAGCTTTTGCCATCCAACGTGCATTGTGTGTTGCACCTGGAGCCCGAAACTTCACTTTGAACTCCGATGTTGTAGTTGATCCTCCAAGAAAAATAAGGCACAAATTCAAGAGTTCTAAGTAATCATCCCTGGGTTGTTGACCTTTAATTGCTTCACTATAATATACTACCATTTCTTCACGGAGTTTGAGAAAAAAATCGCAGTTGTAAAATTCTTTATTCCCTATAGTGAACACCTCCTTGTTGATTGCTGGCCATTGTTTCTGGAAATGGTTAAAAATTCCAACTTCAGGTCCTCCACTGGTTTCAAATGCAGTCGTGAAAATGGTGGAAAGCATGACTTCAAACATATGGTGCCTGCATGCTATCCATATAAGATTATGGTCAAGATTCTGCTCCATTATTGTGCAGGCACCAATGTTCAACCCAGTGTTAGATGAAGTAGTGTCAAAAACCAGTCCCCGAACAAGTTCTTTCAATTTCCAGTCTTTAAGAGCCTTCATGCAAGCATCAGCCTGTTGCTCACCTGTACCTTGATCAATCTTTGGAACGCCCAGCAATTTTTCCACCCCACCACCAGTCACAAGGATGGCAATTCTATCCACTTTTTTTTGACCACCAGTGATATCAGGTAAGAGCTTTCCATCCCAATGCAGAAGAAGTGGATTATCAGGAGAGAAATCAACCTTGTCAGCTGTAGTCACCGCTTCACAAACAGATTGCCTTTTTCTGCGGATTGTGCTGTACGACAATGATAAATCTTTTACCGAGTGACCAAGAGCTTGAGACACTGTTCCAACCACGAAGAGTGCACGGCGATCAGAAATATTAACACGATCAAGAGATGATACAACATTATTTGTTAGAACTTTCATCTTCTTTTTCGTTGAACAACTTGTGCTCAGTGTGCTGGAAGCGGAAGGAGTCTGATATACATCATCATCCGAGGAACTAGAACTACTTTCACTCACAATGTCAACTGCTGATGAAGAAGAAATGAGTTCTGTTTTTTCCATCAGTTCTGCTTGACTTCTTTGACACCTCAATTCCATTTTAGTTTCTCGGACTCGTTTCCGTGCCTCCCTAGCTGTTAAATTCCGATCAATTCCTGCCATACTACAACTTAATGGATCTTCTTGCTGCTGACGTAAAAATGCTTTATCTTCATCGTTTTTCATAACTTCTGATGCATTCTTGGTTGAAATATCAAAAAGTTCTTCAAGGTCAACGTGGAAAATTCCTTCTTTCATTTGACAGCTGTCCAATTTTGATCCTCTGTGTTTTTTCAGCAGCAGATATTCGTCATAAAGTTTTTTTAACTTTCTTTCCGCATTGTCAATTCTTTGAGTTGGAATTTTTCCTCTCTCCCATATAACAAGAACTGCTTCAATTGTTGCCCGAATACTTTTTTTCACTTCTTGTTTCTCTTCTATATGATGGAAGAGCAACCTCCGAAGAAAATCCCCTCTTGAAGGAAGTCAGGCAGTCGACAGAGTTTGTGTAGGTTTACCAACAAGCCACACCTCAGCAGAAGATCTAGTGGTTGCCATATTATCAATTTCTAAATTATAAATAAATAAACAATGAAAAAACAAATTTGCGAAATTTGAGAAAATCACAAAATTTTACCAATGGTTAATTCATCTTATAAAACATGGCAACCCCTAAAATTGCTTCTTTTAGTCTAATTTTTGGTACACATGATCCTAGGTGATAAAGGAACACAGGCAACCTTGAGGAGAATGTTTTTTGTGACATTTTTTTTTTCTATTACAATCTGAATCACCCTAATATATATATATATATATATATATATATATATATATATATATATATATATATATATATATATATATATATATATATATATATATATATATATATATATATATATATATGTGTGTATATATATATATATATATATATATATATATATATATATATATATATATATATATATATATATATATATATAAATCATAAAAACGACATAAAAACATCAAGTTATCCCAAACAAATTTCTGATATGTCTACATTTGAAAACGATCTGATAGATCTTATAAAAAACATTAAATTTTGTAAAGTATACAATAATTTCCAAGACAAGGTAAAAGATGACATATCTACCATACGCAATAGTAAACTTACATATACTTTTTCCGATAAAACATCCAATTTATATAATATATCTAAAAAAAATTACACCCATTTACAACATAAAAAAAATCAAATACAAAAAAAAAAAAAATCAAATAAATAAAGATAAACGGGTATTAAAAAATCACGACATTTTCAATAAAATCGACATTAATACACCTTCAAATTGTTTATTAAACCCTGTCCGTTTTTTAAACCCTGCCAAAAATGAAATCGACAGAATTAGTAAAGTTATACTTTCTAATATAAACTCTGAATTTGTAAAGAAACTTCATCTCAATCAGTGGAAACAAACCCAAGATACCATAAACTGGTTTAATCGCATCAGTGATAAACACTTTTACAAGTTCCTTATTTTTGATATTGTTGATTTTTACCCTTCAATATCTGAAAAACTTTTTAACAACGCTATTTATTTTGCTGAGCAACATCTAAACATTGATCCTAACCATAAAACATTGATATATCATGCAAGAAAATCATTATTATTTAACAATGATCAAGTTTGGATTAAAAAATCAAGCGGTTTATTCGATGTTTTAATGGGAGCATTTGATGGCGCTGAAGTTTGTGATCTTGTGGGAATTTATATTTTGTTTCAAATTGCACAGTTTTATGATAAAAATGGTTTCGGATTGTACCGTGATGATGGCTTAGCAGTTTTTAAAAAAATTAGTAGTCCCCAAATAGAAAAAATCAAAAAACATTTTGTTGAAATATTTAAAAAAGACGAACTCACTATATCAATACAGTGCAACATGAAAATTATAAATTATCTTGACGTCACATTAAATCTCAACGACAATACTTTTCAATCATATTCGAAGCCAGGGAATTCTATAAACTATATTCATGCTGATTTAAACTACCCGCCTATTATTTTAAAACAGCTTCCGCATTCAATTGAGTTAAGATTGTCTGCAAATTCGTCAAGTGAAGAAATCTTCCGAAGATCTACTCATATGTACAATAACGCACTATTAAGATCCGGTTTTAATCACAAACTTTCATATCACCCTAATTTAAGTTTACAACATACCAAACACCGTAAACGAAAAATCATATGGTTCAACCCTCCTTTCAGCAAAAATGTTAGCACTAATGTAGGGAAAAGCTTTTTAACCTTAATCAATAAACACTTCCCAAAAAAACACAGACTCCACAAAATTTTCAACAGAAACACAATAAAAATAAGTTAAAGCTGTATGCCGAATATGAAATCTTTTTTAAATGCACACAATCAACAAATTATGAACAACAACAAAATTTCACCTAAAACCAACTGCAATTCCATTAATAAAAATACCTGCCCTTTATCAAACCAATGCTTAACAAAAAACATTGTATATCAAGCCAATATAAGTTCCAATAATCCTACTAACATTCCTGTCAACAAATATGCCAACCATATAAAATCATTTAACATTCTAAAATACA